GCAAGCCTGTGAGTAGGTATAACTACATTGTGGTTTGTACGGAGGTTATAACCAGAGCTGATAGCCACATCATTTCTGGAGACATAGCTTTCGTAATTTTCTTTAACATAAACGACACACTTATAAACATACAAGGAGTATACTGTCATGATCTTCAGGTACTGAATAATTCTCTGCATGAATGCCTGGAGTTTTTAAGTAACATGGTTCTGATAATCCTTTTTTGTACTATAAATAATTCACCAACCCTGTTACTACCACCCCAAGCAACAATGCAATAGCTTAGTGTGGAATGGACGTGAGCGAAGTAGTAAAGCTTTAATATTTCAGTACTTACGTGACGTCGAAGCTGCCATATAATGAATGATTGGGTTGACAATCGCTTGATCAAACACTCAATATGTTTACCAAATGTTAGCTTAGTATCTAAATAAACACCAAGGAATTTTGTGTAGTTGTTAAGTTATATCCCTCACCATAAACACGTGGGCTGAAATTTAAATCTATATTTCTGAATAGAACTACATCAGTTTTTTGTGAGTTTAAGATAAGGCCATTGGAGTTACAATAATTTCTCATTTGACAGAAAGCATTATTTGTAAGTGTACCCAATGAGTGAGGGTAGGAAGCATGAGTACTGAATGTAGTATCATCTGCAAAAAGTGTTTTGAATACTCCAGGACAAGAAGTCGAAATATCGTTGACAAACAAAATGAATAACAAAGGCCCTAAAGTGCTCCCTTGAGGCACCCCTGTTGATACTATCTTGGCATCAGATTTATATGATTGAAAGTTATTAGTGATTTTTACTGATTGCATCCTATGCTGTAGGTACGTTTTAATCCAATTATACGCGCACCCCCTTATTCCATACTGTTCCAACTTATTCAACAACAAAGAGTGATTAACTCTATCGAATGCACGACTGAGATCAAAAAATATGCATGCTGCTGTTTCTTTATTTTCAGAATTTTGTGAAATTTCGTTACATAATGATAAAACAGCATTTTGAGTGCACCGTGCTTTGATAAATCCAAACTGCACTGAATTAAGTAAGATTTGTTGACAAATAAATTGAACAAGTCTGGAATAGTAGGCTTACTCATATACCTTAGAAAACGCAGAGAGAAGTTCAATTCCTCTGTAATTGGCTATAACAGTTACATCATTCTTTTTGTGAATAGGGACGATAACTGTTTTTTTTTAGTCTTGATGGAAACAAGCCATCAGTAAAAGAGCTATTAATGAGATAACAAATTGGTTTGGCTAATAGATCCGCTACTTTTGCTAGCAGCGAGCAGGGTACTTCGTCATCGCCACTGGATGATTTTTTTGAAATCTCACTGATAATGTTTATGGTTTCGCTGTGACTCAATGGATGAAGAAAACATGAAAAAGGATTTTTAGCGATATGCTTGGTACTAGTATCAATATAGAGATTTTGCGTTATGATTGCACAGATTCCAAGAAATAATTATTAACTCTTGGATGGATCACAACTCTTTGACAACGAGCTGTGATCCATCATCTCTAAGAAAATTAACGTTTCGACTCTTAATCCTAGACCCACTGTGTAGTTTTATTAAATTCCATGCAGTTTTAGGCATGTTTGAGGAATTTTGGATTTTTTCAGCATGGTATTTGCTTTGAGCTTCCTGAATTTTACGTCTGTGTATAAATTTCAGAGTTTTGTATCGTTCTTGTAAGTCTGCACTCCCTGTATATTTATAAGCAGCATGGATATATCGCAGAAGTATACCCTCCTCGATAATTTTATCATTCACCCAAGGTTTTCTTATGGGCTTATGTTATTTGAAGCTAGTTAACAGAAATGCCTGGAAAGTCCTGGATAAATAGTTATCATGTGTTAGAAAGTCAGATTACATATGGCACAATGCTCAGGGAAACTCAGTAGCGTGGATGTGGATCAACGTGCAGAAATCACTTGAAAAATCTACAAAGTCATATGCTATGACGTAACTGGGATAGATGATAAATTGGAATTTCAGACCTCACATGTATGCGGTCAATGAATGATATGGTATAGGACAATAGTACGTAGCCATACATTTTATTTCAAACTATTATCATTTTGTTTACAAACCTACTATTAATAAAAAAAGTGCTATCGCACCATACTTTTTGGAGGTAAAATGGTTGTTAAATACTCCATTAGGCGTGAGTTGTAGATGATTAGGCAAGCAGTCCAGTGGCTTGTCAAGCCAAAGGCCATTATGGTGGTTGGATGTCTAACCGATATTCCAAAACGAGCCTCAAAAATAGGTTTATGTCTGTTGATAAAAATAATATTGACCTCGTTTTCTCAAACCCCTTCTTATAGCGTAATCCCGATAGAATTCAGATATGAATTGACAGTACTGTAACAAATATGTTGATAAAGAAAATACATACGCTAGTTTCTACGTATTGTCATTATGTTCAGAGATCCTGTACGACTGTTACATAATAATCAAACGTCTGGGGAAAACCGTTTGGAGCTGAGACAGACATACTTCGCAATTCCTTACACTACGAGTATTGTATAACTGTTCATATGAAATTATTGTATCGATAACAGTGTTTTGTTAGTATTTACTGACTTACCTAACTTATGATTCCTTCACATACTCGTACTAGTCTTATCCGTATTTTTCACGTATAAATAGTAAATATACTAAGCGACATATAAATCCGAACACCCAGTTTAAATGGTCTTATTTTAATAAAAGTTGGTGAATGTATTTATCTTGCTGTAAATAACAAGTGAAAAAATTTTCAGCCTTATCAGTTGGACATTCCGGTTTTTATACTGCTTTTTTTTAATTCACTAACGCTCTAAAAATGAATATTTCAGCCGCAGTAAAGAATCAACGTTGGCGGATTTTGGTTCTTGACATCCTTTACGATCGGTTACGATGCCTAGAGTACGGAGACCTGTACGATTTCGTCAACTTAGTGAGTTTGATAGGGGCCGTATAGTGGGACTTCGGGAAGCTGGACTTTCTTTTCGGGTAATTGCAGTTAGAGTGCAAAGAAGTGTAGACACTGTGGTTAGGTGTTGTCAGGCATGGCTTCGAGAAGGCCGTACGCAAAGAGCAAGGGGCACTGGACGCCGCCGTAGAACAACAGACCGTGAAGATCGCCGCCTAAGATTATTGGCCTTAAGGGACCGTTTCTCCACTACCAGGTCCATTGCAAATGAATGGTTTGCAGAACACGGAAGACCTATTGGCACGCGAAGTGTTTACCGACGAATGAGAAGTTTTAGCTTGTTTTCATACCGGCCACACTGGGTCCTCCCTTTAACTCGAGAACACCGACGTAATCGCCTTGAGTGGTGCAGACAACGGTCACTCTGGGATCAGGAATGGAACAGTATTGTCTTTAGTGACGCGTCTCGATTTTGTTTAGGCATGCACGATGGTCGTGCCAGGGTTAGAAGGCGACGTGGTGAAAGGAGGAATCCACAGTTTTTTGTTGAAAGACATGTTCATCACACTGTTGGAGTTATGGTTTGGGATGCTATAGCTTATGGTTCCAGGTCACCTTTAATCTTCATCAGAGGTAACATGAACGCGCAGCGTTATATATATTTTTTTTTATATTCCAACTACCACGAAGGCCTAACGTCTAAGCACCCATTGGGTACCGTGGGGCTTTGGGGGATACATGGAAAAGGGGGGACGCCACACGGACTCTGGCGAGGGAACACGTGTGCATGCAACATGCACACATTCTGGCTCCGCCTACGAGAACCGCCGGGTGGTACCTCCGCGTTCGACAGTCAGAGACCATCTACCACCTACGGACAATCACAACATCCATAGCCAAGAGAAAAATTTCTCCTGGGACGGGACTCGAACCCGTACAGCGCACGGCGACTGATCAGGAGACCGAAGAGTCTACTACTGCGGCCACCGCTGCTGCCTATTCCACGAAGTTCTAGAACCCCATCTTTTACCCTATCTTGACACCCTGGCAGATCCAACTTTCCAACAAGATAATGCCCGACCACATGTTGCAAGAGTCACAATAGACTTCTTTCAACATAATGATGTCACATTGTTACCATGGCCACCAAGATCTCCCGACTTATCCACAATTGAGCACGTGTGGGATATGATGGGTAGGAGATTGCTCAATTTGCAACGTCCTCCTCAGACTCTAGAAGCACTTCGAGAGGAGTTGGTGGTTGCCTGGAATGAGATACCACAGGAGGACATTGACCACCTGATCAGAAGCATGCCTAGGCGCGTAGCACATCAGGGTGCATCCACACATTATTAAAGGTCAAAGGGCAGTGCAATCATTTTGAAATTTTTATCATTTACTTATTATGCTTCATTAAGTACTTATACAAAATTTTATTAAAATAAAACCATTTAACACATTGACTGCGAACTGGGATGAGGATACCCACCTCAGAAACTGAAATACTTTTTTTGGAAGCCGGCAGAGAGCGTCGAAAGACGCCGTTCGCTTCCCACCACAGGAGCGGAGGGCGTCTTTTGACGCTGTTCGCACTGAACGTGTTAAACTGGGTGTTCGGATTTATATGTCACTTAGTATAGTAATATTTTAACCCAGTCATCATTTCAGTATTATTGTATGTTTACTTATTTTTACCACAGCTTACAATAATTTCAGATGAATGTACTGTTTCCAGTTACACCGGGTGATGGCAAAAGACAACATCGAGGAAAATTGTTTTTCTGACAACACATAGTGCTGAGAAAAGTCCCACTCGATATTGTCCCCTTCCGTTACCCAATGTGTGTTAGCTCTCATATTGCTCAAATGATACATTATTATTCTAAGTTATGATATTATTTGGAGTAAGACTCAACAAAAGGTAGCAATACCTACACGTCATAACTTACGACTCTGTTAAACTTAACAGCGACAACAGGACAATCGACGCCTGATGCCCGCAGCGACACATACTGTTTCTAGAGCCAGTAACTGCACTTCATAAATGTATAAATGAAAAATTCAATAATTGTTCTTGAATTTTTTTTTATTTCAGTTTGATATGGCAATACAATTTTGGTGAAGTATTTCTTCGATTTTGTTTAGTTGGTTGTGTCTTACTTGTAGACGCACCAGTTCAAGGACGGGGATCACTCGAAACAAACGACAAATTTATGTATCAAAGGATGACCAACTCTGTTCAATTTGATCACTTTTCAATTGCCAATTTGAAGTCCAGCCTTTTCATACTTGCTATTTCAGTAGATTTTTGGATGCATTTTCTAATTACTTCATGTACTCGAAGATCCGAATATCTACCAATTCACTCACTTTCTTGCATTTTTCAGTATTTGCCTGTTCTGCTCTTCCACGACATCCTTTTGTTTTTTGAGTAAGTCTTTGTATGTGCACTTTTTTTCTGTTTTTCCGTGGGCTTTGGTGGGCTCTTCTATTATGATCTCTTTCACCTTGATAACCCTGCACACCGTCTGAAAATGCAAAGCAGAAAGGGGTTCGTTCATGGTTTCTTTACAAAAACACGTACCCAGACGATACTAGAAACTATTAACTACTCATAATGAATACTTTAAAATATCTAGTGCTAAAGTTAAAAACTCAAATTAATAAGTATAGCAGAAATCATATGTTGCTTCATATATTTAATGGGATTTCTTTGGTCATATCCCTCTAATTTGGACTGTTTTAATACCGTCCCCATCTTGTACTATGTTACCTCTGACCCCAGATCATCGTCGGCAACGATTGGTATGAGGTAGGAAGAGACTTGAATGGAATATGGAACGAAACTCAGTCGTGTTCAGCAATGAGTCCATATCCTTTTTGGGTACACATGATGGCCGCGTAAGAGTAAGAAGGAGACGTGGTGAAAGACCAATATTCCATCGAAAGGCGTATTCATCGCACTGTGGGTGTTATGGTATGAGGTGCCATGGCTTACGGCAGCAGGTCACGATTAGTGCTCATTCGAGGTAGCATGACTGTCCACCGCTATATCCACGAAGTTTTACAAGCACATCAGCTTCTCTTTTTGGAAACATTGCAAGATCCTCTTTTTCAGCAGGACATTGCACGTCATCATGTCGCACGTGTTAGTTTAGACTTTTTAGAAGCGTCCGCAGTAAATCTGCTTGAGTGACCTCCTCGATCTACAGACCTTTTCCCCATCGAACTTGTATGGGACATGACGGAAAGAAGGTTGCAAAATTCACCGCACTGAGGAGAGAATAGATTAGATGGCCATAGATGTTGCGCGTTTAGATGATCCACTATATACCTAGCATGCAAGAATATGATATTTACCACATCAGCACCTGGTTTCTTCGTGCAAACCAACTTGCCCTCATCATTACGAACCACTAGTCCTTCAGCTTCAGCTAGTTTGCGAGTTCTCTTAGCCAGGATGCTGTTTAATTCAGCTCTTTCTTCATCAGCAGTCATAGTAGCATCTTTTATCATATTGTTGGTGATTTCTTTACAGATGAGTATATCCTGATTAAACTTATCTTTCATGATTTTACACTTCAGTACTCTTTCACTCTATATGCAAATATATAAAAATACATTATAATGTGTTAACTTGAAAAATGCTGTTGTAAGACATGCAACTTATCATGTGCCTTTCATGTCTTGAGATACAAACATGGTAGATTATGAAAAGTGCTGTACTTGAAACTACATTAAAATGTTATCGATGGGAATACTACCATAGATGAAAGTAACTAGCTACAGTAATAGGTTTCAGGTTTCAAATTCGAGATGGCTCAAATACAACTTACATCAAAAATTGCTAATAGACACATTGAACTAAGGTTGCTTGTCGGTGTGTCGCAAAAACGTTTAGGTAATTCAAGTCAGAATGTACTTTTTGTGTAATAATTTTAAATTATTGGAAGAGCTGTGATCTATATAACAATATCAAACAATGTTTTGTCTTTCATACCATTAAATATTGATATATTTACCTTTACAGGTTCTATACCACCTGGACATTTCTGGCAGTCAAGCCGTTCACCATGTTCTGCATTCACTGACTGACAGCAAACTGCCTTTGAATCTGTAAATGATTCGATTTGTAAAAGCTCATTCCAAATATCAAGATCTCAATACCACAATTTATTAAAAAGTTGCGGTGAAATCAACATTTCTTGTGTTTGACAGTACGCTTTACCCAAATGTATATTTTTAGGATGTTCAGGTAGTTTGATTATTCAAAAAGGATGACTTCCTTATAACTATCACATGAGAATAAGCGAAGAATTTCCCTAATGTCGACTGAGAAAACATGTTCCTTGATGAGTTGTATATTTTTAATGAAAGCAGTTCTGCGAGAGCAGTAAAACATATTAGTTTTGAGAATATGCACTTACTATACCCCATTCGTAGTCCATTTACGTACAGACAAAACATAATATGCCCAAAAGCGAGATTGTGCAGGTCCGTGACAAAATAAATGATTATTTTTATAGAAAGAAGTGCACATACTTTTCACAATTCTTTATTCGCTGGAAGCACTTGAATCATTGTCCGAGTGGTTATTATTAATCGTTATTAAGGTTCAATTTGAATATCGATCATATTTTCCAGATCTCACATCAGTGTTTCAATTGTCTCTTGAACGTGATGGATGCAATCTTTCCAAGGGTTTGCCGTCACTGTGTTGACAGCTTCATAAAAGAAATTTTTCACGGCATAAAATTTGAATGTTCTATTTTTTGAAGTCACATAGTTTTTTATATTTGCAAAATCATTTCAATGGGATTTAATTCGCAGTGGTGAGAGGGTAGCCTTAAAACGGTCTTATTTTGGTTTTTACCCATTTCATCAATAATATTGAGATTATATTTATATTTGTACTGCATGACTAAATGGATAAGTTCTGCCTTGACCATATTTTCATTCAAACTAATCTCTTTTGATAGGAGCCATTGTTGAATTTCTGCCTTTCTTGTGAACGTCGTGGGAATTTTTTCTAGTTTTCTAGTCTAGTAGGCAGCATTAACAAGTACAATGACGGCATTGTCGTCAAGCTTTGGGAGCGTTTCTTCAAACCATCGTTCAGATAAACTCCCGTCCATTTCTTCAAGGTAGTCGGTCGTTTTCTTTGGCTCAAATGCCCATAGGGCAGTAGGCATAAAGCTATATTCAATGCCAATGTGATAGATAACAACTCGTTTTCCTTTTCCTGGATCTGATTAGTATACAAGAAGACTAATAATAATACAAGCAGAGTATCTAACAGGTGTTGGTTCCAAATCTACCAGGTATAGCTAAGTCTTTATCGTGGGCTCATAAATTAATTCTACTTGACACCATTTTAGCAACACAAATGACGAATTGGTTAGATACCCGTACCTGACGGATTCTTTAGGCCAGTGGTTAGTCCATCTAAGAAGGCTTGTCTTGCTAATTTAATTGTAGAGTCAGCCCATACTTTAAGTTATGTATGTCCTGATTTATCCAGGTTTCATCTAGTAATAAATCTTCCTGCCCTGATCGGTATTTCTTTATTGATTTTAAATAATTTTTCCCCCTAAATCTCTTGGCTGTCCATCAAAATATTATTTCTTTCCCGTTTTCTATACTCAAAAGGAAGTTCTTTGAGTAAAGTATAGAATGTGGTCCTTTTGAAAGTAGGTAAGTCAACTATTAACCTCCTGTAATGCTTTGTCTACGGTGGGAAGTTCCTGCCTTTCAAAAAATGGATATACATTGCATCTGATGGCATTCCCATCAAAGTTATCAACTGTATCCAACAGCTTCGTGTAACGCAGCCTCTTGTGTGGTGATGACAATTTTTTTTATATTCTTTAACAACGTTGAAAATTGACTTAGGACATAAGCCTGTTTTGTTTGCCACACGTCTTTCAATATTATGAATTTTAATTTCAAGATGCTCTAAAATTTCGCTCTTATAAACGTTAGGGACAATTTATTTTGCCTGAATATTCAAATGTCCCTTCTTGTCATGTTTTCGGGGAGGAGACATCGCTGAAGAGGAAGCATGGCTGAAGGAAGCATTGGGAGAAATATTCTCAGTTTCATCTGCTGTATCCGTGGAAGACATGCTAATGTATAAACACATGCTATGTATACACCGAATATGAACAGTAACTGCCAGCGTCGGCGTGCCGGCGATACCCCGAGCCTGAGTTCTAACCTGTCGAATCCTGCACTTGTTCGTACTTATATGGCGGAATGACTAATAGCTATTGCAACGCTTAGGCGGCTGCCGCTTTGCCGCGCTGCATCTTTGTTGTGTCGGGGCGTAAATGGACTACGAATAGGGTATAGGATTGAAGAACCGGTTCTTTTACAGAGAACAGAGTCTAGCTGTTAAAGAAACCGGGAGATCCAGAATATTCGGTACTCTAGGGTCAAATTCAGTTTTGGCAAACCAGTAGATAGTAACTCCCGCAAAATAGATGGAACGAAAAATATTTTTATTTATTGACACTCAGTCCCGGAAGTGACAAAAGAAACGAGACAAGGATTTGCGGTTCCGGTTCTTCAGTCCGATCCAAATCCCAATAAATCCCGAGACTTTCGTGATTTTCCTAGTGCTTAGGCCTAATACAAACAAAATATATGCATTTTCTAGTAGCTTGTAGCTTACAAATTAGCTTTACTTTGAACTGACAAAATAGGTGCATATTACCTACTCATATGGTAACTTTCATACTTACCCTTCGTTGAGTCAATTTCCCTTTGACAGCTCTTAATATTCTCTTTGTTTACTCTGTTGCCTGACAAGGCAATTTCCACACATCCTAAAATAGAGACGCATCAATATGAGTACTTTTCAACTTATTATTCACTACCTGTTCCTTTGTCCTCCGTACTTGAAGCTAATTAAAAGAAATTTTCATTAATTAACTTATCGGATGAAATTGGGATTCCATGGAATGACTTGTGAATTGCAATTCTATAGATACTTGCAGTAACGAATGTCAACTCGTGTGTTCTTTGATGAAGAGAAGGTAATTATTTATTATAATATATCATTTAAGACACTTTGACCGTTCTTAATCGATTGAATTAATCGCTCGATGGGAGAGAAATATCCTGTGACATTCATTCGCTTGCAAAATGTATTCTCGACTGATGCAACCTCAAATTTTAAAGTCTGCGGGATTTATTTTTGACACAATAATATTTATAATAAAAGTAGTTACTGTTTTGATTTGCTATAGAAAATGGATATCTTTCTATCCCAAATGCGCATGCATCAACATACAGGACGTTAGAAATAAGTAGCAGCAAGGGTTTGTCTACTTGTATTTCTAAGTTTTCAAAAGTGTCAAGGTTCAGCTGTAGTATACTGAGGATTATTATCGCATTTTGATAAACGTTGACACACCAGACACTCAAAATGTTTTTAGTTTTTATAAAAAGTAGTTTTTATCTATAGCTGAATATTTTATGTCTGAATTTTAAGCACTATGTGTCTTAAATGTGTCTATCACTTTTGACGGATCACAGTTTGATTAAAAATCTAGCAATTCCATGGAAATATTTTGTCTCACATTTGCATGGATCCTTATCGCCTTTTTGTGCTCGCTTTTTGTTGATGTTCTCGCATAGATCCTTTTTCTCCTTGCACGGATCTTTTTCTTTCTTTTCACAAGGATCTTTTTTCTTTTGTACTTGCTTTTTGTTGAAATCCTCGCAAGGATCCTCTTTCTTCTTGCAAGGATCGTCTTTCTTTTCACAAGGATCTTCTTTCTTCTGAGCTTGCTTTTTGTTGAAATCCTCGCAAGGATCCTTTTTCTTTTTGCAAGGATTTTCCTCTTTCTTTTCACAAGGATCTTTTTTCTTCTGCGCTTGTTTTTTATTGAAATCCGCGCAAGGATCTTTTTTCTTCTTGTGAGGATCTTCGTCTTTCTTTACACAAGGATCTTTTTTCTTTTGAGCTTGTTTTTTGTTGAAATCGTCGCAAGGATCCTTTTTCTTTGGTTGTCCTGAAATAAAGATGCGATAACAAATCTAAATAACTAAATATTTCGGTTCGTAGATGTAGTTTGTTGATGTCTGCTCAGATGTAAATTGTTCTAAGGCAGTGTCCTCGCCAAAAGCAACTAGACAGCAACCTGAGGGCAACGCGACTTCAACTCGATTTCGATCTCAATTGCGTTGCTCTGGCTTTTCCGCAGAAAGCTGCTAAGCAACTGGCTGCGTATAAAAAAATGGATTATCGATGTGTTGCAATTCCGATGAACGGTTTTCGGAAGGTTACACCTGGTATGCGAACATGTCTGTTTAATAATAACTGTAGCTTGCCTGAAAGACTTTCAATAATGTTGTTTCAACTGATCCACCTTAGAGAAGTATACATTTTTTTGAGGATGTGCCCGGAACTCCAGCTGAAATGTCCTAATTCCATCCACAGATGAAATTATTGTTAATATTGCATGATATCTCACCAGACTTCAATGAACAATCTGAGGACTTCTCTCTTAACTTAGTATCGCTCTTCTTCTTGCAGGGATCCTCCTTTTCCTTTGGTGGTTCCGGTACCTTTGTGCAAGGTTCTGCCTTTTTAGGTGTAGAAGGGTCTTTTTTATTCGCTGAACCTATGACATTCAAAAATTTTAATACAAATAGTAGTATAGAAAATCAAATATTGTGTTAAGCTGGTTGACCTGTAACAAAACGTTGTAATATACAGAGTGATTCAGGCAGTATGTCTACGAGATACAGAACATAAAAAATAACGAAAAGATCATATAAACAATACATACAAAAATTTACTAAATTGATTGAAGTTTTTGATTCTCGACAAGATGAAAATTATTTTTTACTCTCCTGACTTCTTGGAACACTAGTTGCATTTTTGTGTATGGTATTCAAGTTTATATGAATCGCCTCTCGAGTAACTTTTATCAGACTACTATTCCTTTTGGAGGAAAATTGGTTTGGATATTCGAGGTAAAATCATTTTGTTCACAGTTACGAAAACGCATAATTGATCTATTGATAACATTACTTCCACCTAGAGGGCACTGTATGCGGAATTAGTAAAGTGAATGTCTGTCGCATCAAAATGAAGAGGAGCTCGTTTAAAAAAAAACTCTACAATCGAGTAGTGCCCTGTTTTAGGTAACCATCTGTATTGAGATGTGGTAAAATGGATTCCAGGGTCGATGGCAAAGTACTTTCTCAGGTGTCAGCGTGTCAAAAAAAAGGCGCGTTGGTAAGATTTCCAGTCACGCAAGAAAAAAAACGTGTGATGTGTTTTTATGGAGAAATTGTCTACGGTAAGTTTACTTAGTATTTAATATATATCATATTATCGATATGGGAAGGTAGATTTCTTAGGGAATACAACCATATATTTTTCTGGGCACCCGTTCGAAATAAAAATCTGCAGCCGCCTATGACAATCGACTGGATAATTAGTGAATAGGTGGTGACACCAAAATCAGAGTATGCAAGTAACATCTTTTATGCGAACATCTTTCTTGAATCTGGTGTTCCTTCTACACTATTAAATTTCTTTGTCACACTTCTTGTATCAACTGTAGCTCTTCTGGTGGAAGGCTCTCACACTTCAAAGCAAATAAAAAGGCCATGGTGAAGAACTTTTCGATTGCCAATATTTTTTCGATTGTTCGAAACTTTAGCTGAAGTGTCGTAAAGACAATCCACAGATGACATTTTTGACTACCTCTAAGGCAACTGACGACGGCAGAGTCAGCAACTGATTGCGTTGTCGTCTTTTTGGTGTGAACTTCTATAATTGAATACATGTGCAGAGTCGGATTGCGATTGCCAGCTTCCAGTGAGAACGATCTCTTAAATGATATAAAATCGAATCTTCAGACCCGCTAGCAACTACGCTTCCATTGAACTATTATTGTAAGTATTACGTAATTTCTCACCAGACTTCAAAAAGCAATCTGATTGTGAGGGTTTCTCATTCAACTGACTAGCGCTCTTCTTTTTGCAGGGATCCTCCTCTTTCTTGGGTGGTTCCGGTTTTTTCTTGCAAGGTTCTGCCTTTTTAGGTGCTGAACCTATAACCATAAAGGAGTTTTAAAACAAACATGAATTCAATGCTTGTATTAAACTGTCGACTGACCTGTAACAGAAAATCGTAATATGCATAGTGATTCAGAGAGCAGTGGCAGTGTTTCTACGAGATAAAGTAAATGGAAAATAACAAAAAAATCTCATAAAGATGGGCAACAAATTTCCCGGTTACCAAGATTTGGGGTGCTGAATTTATAATTTTGAAACCGAAATAAATGTACACTCGAAGTGTATTAAGATATTGAGTTGAAACTTTGTACAACGATTTAAAAGTAACATCTTGTATGCGATCACAATTCTTGAGTATGATGATCACTTGTACACTATTTACTTCATGTCATACTCCTTGTATCAGCTGTAGCTCTTCTGATGGAAGACTCTCATATTTCAAAGGATACAAAAAATACAAAAACGCGATGTGAAGAACTTTATGATTATCATTTTTTTTTCTTTTGATGATTACGACCCGAGGTTTAGCTGAAGTGTCTTAAATATAATCGACATAAATTTGAGTAACTAGAGGGCAACTGCGAGCCAACTGGCGACAGCAGTATCAGTAACCATTAAGCAACTGATTACGTCATCCTTTTGGTGTGAACGTTTGTAATTGTGTATACATATGTGCAGAGTCGGATTGCTAGTGTCAGCTTCCGGTGAAAACGGTGTGATTACCAATATATTTTTTGAGGATACGACAGGAACTTTAGCTTTAAATGTCATAAATATAATCCACAGATGACATTTTTCGGTCTGTAATTGAGTACATGTGCAGAATCGGGTTGCGATTGTCAACTGCCTTCGGTGAGAACGATCTCTTAAATTACATAAAATCTGATCCGCTGGCAACTGCGCATTGAACAATTGAACAACAATTTACTGTAATATTACATGGTATCTCACCAGACTTCAATAAACAATCTGGGGACTTCTCTTCCAATTGATAAATGCTCTTCTTTCTGCGGCGATCGTCCTTTTTCTTAGGTGATTGCGGTTTTTTCTTGCAAGGATCTGCCTTTTTAGGTGCTGAACCTATAACCATGGAGGAAATAAATATGACACGTGTATAGAAATGCAATGCTTGTATTAGGCTGGCGACTGATATGTAACAGAATATCGTAATACAAGGTGACCAATATACAGCGTGTTTCAGTTTATTGTTGCATAACTTTAAGATTCGATAGTACTTTTAAAATTAATGCATAAAATCTATATAAACATGGGTCGGAAAATGCGTGGCTTCCGAAATACAGGGTGATTAAATTTACTTTCTAAAATATTTTTGTTTAAATATTTCGAACAATATCTGATGTATAATAGTGAAACGACAAAACGAACCATGGGCATAGTTTTACTGTAGCCGCTAGAGGGCGTTCTCTACTATACCTGTAGTGTATTAAAATGACCGAAAATTTTTTCTTAGTGCAAATTTTTGCTTTTTGAATAAAAAACTGATTCTTCGCACTTTTCAACATAAAAAAGCTCTCGTGTGAATTTTCGTTATAGTTAGCCGTTTTTGAGATATTTCGATTTTTATTGTTCGATGCATTTTTAATTATTTATGACAAAATAACGTTAAAAAGTCAGTATCTCGATAATTTTTAGAAGTAGGCTGTGCCTGCAAATATTTTTGAAATTGAAAGCAGAATAAGGTTAAACGTCAATTAGTTGACAGTTAGTTTTGTTGTCTGTTGAAACCTGAAACGTTTTTTTGCAATTGTGAATGCACGAAATTTAGTTTCTTTCACCTGTTTTTTTTGTAAGTTTTATAAAAATGCCATTTTTATTCTCCAATCCAGAGTTAGCGGATATTCATTTTGTGTATGGCTTTGTAAATGGAAACGCAGCAGAAGCAGCCAGAGAATCCGCACGAAGATTTCCAAAGAGACGACATCCAACTCGCTCAGTATTTGTAACAGTGCATCGCCAAATAATTGAAAATGGTTTTGGAAATCTCCAAAGGGATCAAAACATAAATGTTCGTCAGCGCAGATTTACCCGTATGATTCTGCGTGAGTTTGATAGAGATCCGACCACAAGTGTTAGGAGAGTTTCTGTTGCCTTGGGAATTTCAGCAAGCCATGTTCACCGTGTTCTTAGAAATGACCATAGACGTCCTTACCATTTGCAACCTGTGCAAGGACTACAGCCAGAGGACGGAGAACGAAGAATCACATTTTGTCAGTGGATTCTTGATAGAACTGATAATAATAGGGAGTTTTTAAGTAACGTTTTATGGACCGATGAGTCATGCTTCACTAGGAGTGGTAAATTTTCATAATCAACATATTTGGTCGCATGAAAATCCGCATGCAGTTTGGGAAAGAAATTTTCAGCATGAATTTAGTGTGAACGTGTGGATTGGTATCTACCGTAATCGACTATTTGGACGCTACCTTTTGCCTGCAAGGTTAAATGCTGCGACCTTCTTGGAATTTTTAAAGGCTGAACATGCAAATATGTGGGATGATGTTATGTTAGATTTAAGAAGATTGGCCTGGTTCCAGCTTGATGGTTGCCCAGCTTATTATTAGAGAATAGTTAGAAACTGGCTGGACGAAAATTATCCACGATCCCCTGACCTAAATCCATTAGATTTCTTTGTGTGGGGATTTCTAAAAGAAAAAGTGTACCAGACTCCCGTAACCACAAGAGATATGCTAATAGACAGAATCAGGAATGCATGTGATGAAATAAGGCCTTATTTGAATAATGCTATACCACGTTCGATCATTCGTAGATGTGAATTGTGTATTGAACAATTGGGTTTACATTTCGAGCAACTACTTTAGATTTTGTATGTTTGTCCTAACTATCCAATAAAATGTTAGTTGTAAATAATTAATTTAATTTGTTAAAAATAGTATTGGAAAATTAAACAAATTAATATTCTGTTTTTTGTGTTTATTTGGAATTAGGAATTATTGCTGTATTTAAAAACACAATCTAAACGATCATCTTTATCTTTACATGTAATGCCCAAATCTAAAAAGAATATTATTTTCCCATAAATAATTAAAAATGGATCGAACCTTAAAAATCAAATTATCTCAAAAACGGCTAACTATACCGAAAACTCACAGGAGAGCTTTTTTATGTTGAAAAGTGCGAAAAATCAGTTTTTTTATTCAAAAAGCAAAAAATTGCACTAAGAAAAAATTTTCGGTCATTTTAATACACTACAGGTACAGTAGAGACCGCCCTCTAGCGGCTACAGTAAAACTATGCCCATGGTTCGTTTTGTCGTGCCAAAAAACCCTTGTATACCAATTTTCACTGTTATACATCAAACATTGTTCGAAATATTTAAAAAAAACTATTTTAGAAAGTAAATTTAAACACCCTGTATTTCGGAAGCCACGCATTTTTCGACCCATATTTATATAGACTTTATGCATTAATTTTAAAAGTTCTATCGAATCTTAAAGTTATGCAACAATAAACTGAAACACCCTGTATAACTGACTGATTCCATTTTCATACATGAGGTCAGGTGGTCATAAGTGGTTCAAAGAGCACGACCTACTGTACCGTCTGAAAAGTATGCGAACATCCGGAAAACTTGGTAACCATGCATTTCTTGGAAAACAGATTGAAAGAAATGCTCCAGGGTATCAAATAAGCAGTTTTTCCATGGCCGCAGATATGACCTAAATACTGACCTCGTAGGTCATTTGTATGTTAACTTTGTAAAATCAAATAACGACAATCATTTTTGGCAGCCGTGTCGAGCTCGAGTATTTACATCAGAAAACTTTTATTTTTGAAGTTTGTGTTTAAAATTGTTTGAACAAATTTTCACCGGATTACCGCCCAGCAACATTTTTATAGTCATGATAAGGTTCATACAAAAAACTTAGCTGTAAAAAGATCAATAAGGAAAATTTCTCGTAAGAATCTAATGTTTCCTCCTTGCTTAATTTCGGAGCACAACTGAGCGCTGAATTCGATACGAGCACTTACCACGTCAAGTAAAAAGGAAAGTAAAATCATAATTTTTGATTGCTTCACATTTTAACTATGCAATAAGTATAAGGACGTTCCGTTTGAAATTCATAGACGAATGAAGCTTGCCTTTCTTGAAAACTGATGAAAATTATAAATCGCAGTTATTTTAAAATTACTTGCCTGTTTACAAATCTCAAAAATACACGTCATAAACTTTGCAACTCTGTCATATATTCACATATTATGCTTAATGGATGACTTACCTCCTCTGAAACAATGCTCTGACTTTTTCTCCTCCAACCTAGGTGGTCCTTTCCTTTTATCGCATATTTCGTTCTTTTCCGACATTTTTGTTAGATAACTTTGATTGACGCATACCTTTTGCATTGCTTCCTGGGTTTCCTGTAAGTCAAAGAAAATATTATATCAACTGGTATGCGGATAATGGATACTAAAATGTCTATTTAAGTCGTTCATTTAACATTATATATATATATATATATATATATATATAAAGAGAAAATAATCATGCCGCGTGGTTGTGGTTAGATGTCGCCTTGAAAATTCGAGGTCTTCTAGCTATTTTATACTACAATGTGTAGGTTGGCTCTTGTTGTGGACTTCGTGTGTGATTTTCCCATCTATCTTTATTTCCTCAGGTTACACCCGTATCCGGATGTATGAGCATGTGTATCTACTTTTGTAGTTGCATATGTGCATTCATTTAAGGCCTGATGAAGCCAACCAGCAGAAATACGTATCGCTCGGGTTACCTATCCTATTTTCTGCTCGAATCCACTTTCCTCCTTTTCGCGGATTTTGCCCATTATTTTCCTATTTTTTTGTTATATATACAGGGTGACTTTGAAGTTGAGTCATTAATTTTCAGATAATGATTGTAGAAGGAAGATAAACCAAAATATGTGTGTAAAAATAAAAAAAAAATAAAAAAAAATTTTTACCTTGTTTTATAAAGTATCCTCCCGACAAGTATTTCAGTGCGGACCTGTATTTGATCGTGAGGTCCCCTCTGAGGTCTTAAGTCACCTGATTCACGAGCCCGTTGTACTACATTAACAAAGGCACGAGGGGTTGGTTGCACTCGATTGGGAAACCGATCCGCATAAACATGTGCCATTTTTTATTTCGTTTGAGCCACGCAACAGATACCACCATTCACTGACACTGATTGTATACAAATGAATGAGATACTTGTAAAAACATCGTTCCAAATTCTTTCGCTTTTTTGTTTCCGATGCGATGAACCGATACGGCGGATTATATCCGTTGTCGCCAAACACGACCACATAATATTGTTATTGAGACAGGGCGGTACTCAAACTTCCAAAGGGCTATAACTTTGTTACTTTAATTTTACCAGGAAAATGGTAAAGGAAAAAAACATTTCTTTTGATCAGATCTACTCACTGTTAAAATAAATGACTCAACTTCGAAGTCACCCTGTATATATATATATATATATATATATATATATATATATACAGGGTTTGTCCGGAAAGTAGTATGACTCATTTTCTTCCGCCAGCTAACGAATGAGCGGCTGGTCAGTTATCTCCGAGCACTTGGAGAGTCAGGAGAGGCCTTTTCGCGCGACGTGTTTCTGTGAGTGGTGCAAGCCGAAAATGCAGCGTTCGTTAGAGCAGAGGTACGCGATTAAGTTCTGTGTGAAACTCGGTAAATCTGCAACAGAGACGTTTGATATGATCAAGCAGGCTTACCCAGGTGTTGCTTTAGCAAAAAGTGGTGTGTTTCGGTGGTACCAGGCCTTTTTGGAGGGCCGGAAAGGGGTCGCTGATGAAGACCGTGCTGGAAGACCTTCGACTTCGACAAACACCGATAATGTGACTGGTGTCCGCAAAGTTTTGAACTCAGACCGTCGACTAAGTATTCGTTTAATTGCCCAAATGTTAAATTTACCAAAATCTGTGGTTCATGACATTGTGACACAGCATTTGAACATGCGCAAAGTGTGCGCGAAGATGGTCCCAAAAGTGCTCACTGACGACCAGAAATTGCGGCAAGTGGAAGTGTGCCAAGAAAATTTGAATATGTGTGAAAGTGGCCCCCAATTTTTGAATAACGTAGTCACAGGTGACGAGTCGTGGATCTTTGACTATGATCCCGAGACAAAGAGGCAATCTTCCGAGTGGCACACGACGGCGTCTCCTCGCCCGAAAAAGGTAAGAATGAGCAAGTCCAAAGTGAAAACGATGCTCATTGTCTTTTTTGACATCAAAGGCATCGTCCACCATCAATTTGTTCCTCCTGGACAAACCGTCAACGCCAAGTTTTACGTGGAAGTGCTCAGGAGGCTCAAACGAAGGGTCAGTCGGGTCCGACAAGACATCGCAGCCGACTGGAAGTTGCACCACGACAACGTCCCAACTCACACCGCCTTTCTTGTGAACAGCTACCTGACCCAGGCCGGCATCCCAACGCTTTCGCAGCCGCCCTACAGCCCAGATGTGGCCCCCCCGGATTTTTTTTGTTTCGTCGCCTGAAAAAGCCGATGAAAGGCAAGCATTTTGAGACGACAGAGGGGATCCAAGCAGCATGCACCGCGGCTCTCAAAGCTATTCCGGAGAATGCCTTCCGTGACGCCTTCAATGCTTGGAAATCGCGCTGGCAGCGCTGCATCGACGCAGAAGGAGCTTATTTACAAAGCTTTTAGAGAATTGTAACGATTGGTTCAATAAAATTTTTTAAATCGACTCAGTCTTATTACTTTCCGGACAAACCCTGTATATATATTGAGTTACCACCACTGGATATAGTATGACCCTACGAATGTCAGTATGTTACCACCACATACTGGCTTGATGATGCCTGCCTATTGAAGATATTCAACCTGGAAGTAGACATCCCATCACCCAATGTGTCAAATCACAATTGTTAGACAGTATTCGGACGAATGACATCATTAACTAAGGTATCCTCACCAGCTAACTCTGAACTGGTCCTGCCATTTATACTCTCTAAGATGCCCCAGCTATGTAATGAAAAAAGTTATAATTTTTGAACTATAGTCATATTACATCTTGATAAAAATGAATTATGGCAGCACTATTAGCTTTAAATGAGTGAGTAGCTAAACTCCCCATTATTTGATGGATTTTATCAAAAGAATCGTCGCATCGCAATTTAAACGTTTTCATTAGATGTGTGTGACTTTTTGTGACTATACGTGCTGCTCCCACCAGCTGAGCTATTTCGTAAACTATTATTTCATTGCTGATAACATACGTAAGCCAAGTAAAATGACTTTGGATTGGTTGTCATCCCAGAAGACCAGTAGAGGCCGCAAAGGGAGAAAGCAGGTCTCATTTTTATTGTGCAAAATTGATGACGCGCTGTTAGTATGGCTGCTATAAAAGCAACATTTGGATATCGAAAACAATGACGCTGTAGGTCGACATCGTGACTGCTGCATCAAGCATCCCATTCACAACCACAACGAAAATTAAGTCCGAAGGGGGAGGGGGTGACACATTCATGGTACGACGCTCTTCTAAAACAGTAGCTATGCCTCACTTGCCTTTTTCCATGGATATCTATTTCTGATGTTGACTATCTTCTTAGGTCCGCACGGTTTTCTCTTTTGCTCATTTTTGCATGTCTGATATGCAGGCTCAGTCTTATCGCCAGTGCCCCCAGATGGACCGTTTTTCTGAGCAGCAGCTTCTTTCTTGAATGCATCTTTTGTCTTTTGGTCCTCGCATGAATTCTTATGGAAAATAAATGTACGTAAAAAATGTATTCAAGGAATATTAAGTTGCGTTTCAATTAATTCATTATTTTTAATCGCCTTTGAAAAGTATAGATAACGAAACATTCACTTTTCTAGTTACAGTAAAACTATACATACAGGGTGTTCATTTGAAAACCACCACGGATTTATCGAAAACACCGAGACACGTCAAAACATTTGTCCAGGAGGACAACTTTTTAACCAAAAACTACTTCACCTTTCACACTCGGCCCCCAGGGTCATTCCCTTAAAAATTTCAAATGACACGATGTATCAAGTAAGCGCTTGTTTGAAAGGTCTTTCAAAGTGCTTTATCTTGACGTTTGATTTTTTAAACCAGTCGATTCGTTTTCGAGAAAATTAGAAAAACATTTATTTATCTTAATTTGTTCAGATAGAAAACAAAAACACACGAAACTATCACTTTTTATATGAATAAGTGTTCAAAATGTTGCCCGTTAGGGTTTTGCCAAATCTACAATTCGTTTTTAAGTTAAAACTGAAACTACCAACATAAACAGCAATTCAGAAGATTAGACGAGGCAACAACCAAATAACAACCCGAATATTTTTCCGTTTATCGCCAGACATCCTGGGAATATATCTTCGCATCGGTATGTTTTGGACCTTGTTACTCAATTTACCCAAACTGGATCTGTTGCAAATAAAAAATTAGAACGTTGAAGTTTTGAAATAAATCATAATACTTGATTACGCAAAATTGTTGCTGCTACTGGTATTTCATTAGGCTCTGTAGACACAGTTACTGAACTCTATAAATTTCATCCATTCAAAATGAAAATATTGCAAGACTTAGCCGAAGGTGATTTCGATAGGCTAGTTGAGTTTTGTGAACAGTGAATTAATGATAATACCATTCAAATTGATTTTCCACATTACAAATAAATTTTTTTTGGAAACGAATTTTTCAACGACAACGTGCCATTTCTTAAGCCGTGCACATACATGCGGTGTTCGGCGAATAGCAAATATTTGGCATTCGACGAGCAACTCGGTAGCTATTTGTTATATGGCGAGCACGACCATACACACATGCGGCGTAAATGCCGAATATTGCTCGGTGTGGAAATAATGAATACGAACAACGATTAATGTACGAATGGTGAAAATGAATGGTGAAACATTGATGACTGATGCTGCTGCTTTTGTAGTTATGAGTGGTGCTTATTTACAGTTATTAAAAAAGAAGTCTAGGAGAAGAAGTAGAAGAAGGTGGTGGATGGTATCACTTAATCAAAGTAGAGAAAGGTAAGTAACCTTGGCAGCAAGTAAAATCACAAAAATTAAAAAGATATAAATTTGTCAAAAGTAAAAAAACTCGTTTATGAAAGGAAATGGATATTATTGCATAATTTGATGTAGTTTTCAATTCCTTCTTTCTTAATTTATTTGCAACTCTGTATATTCAGCAATAATTTTGGTAGTATTTTTTTTTAATTTCCTATAACCTGCAAATATCCTGTAAAATTGTTTTATTGTTTATTACCAATACCAAAATTACTTAAAAATATAATGTCTTTTTAGATATAGTGGAACTCATCTGATGGCAGATTTATTAAAGGAACCATCTGGCAGATTTGAAAACTTCTGCAGAATGTCCTTTGAAGATTTTGAAGAACTTCTTCAAAAAATAGAGCCAGTGATTTCTAAAAAAGATACAAGATGGAGAAAAGCTATTCCGGGAAAAGAACGATTAGCCTTAACTTTGAGGTTTCTAGCGTCGGGAGACAGCTTTAAGAGCCTACATTATTTGTTTAAAATATCAGCTTAACTCATTTCCTCCATAGTTCCAGAAGTATGCAGTGCTTTAATAAAAGTCCTGAGTAATGTAATACAGGTAACATTTTTATTTCGTTATTTTATAAGAAGGTAGAAAAGTAATATTTCTACAAAAGTAAAAAAACATACATATAAAGTACATATCAAATGTTTATAATTTTATCTGAAACTTGTATAACACTGCTTCAAACTTTCAAATTGTGACTCATCAGATGGGGAACATTGTTGAGTTTCTTGAAACGTCGCAGAACTTTGATAAGGTGATGGTGGTTGGGAAAGTCCAATGGCAAAGTTGGTAGAAGATTGACGACTACTAAACGATGCTTCAGAAGGCGATGATAATGGACTACATTGCGGGTTCACAGAAGTTAAAACAGTTACATTTTGATTATTAGTAGGCATGAACGGCTGATAATTTAGTGGCATATTCAAATTCATTTTCATTTCAAAAAGAAGATTATCAATTCGATTTATTGCAATGTCCCTAGTTCTCTCATCAAACTGTTTCAATCTTTCAGCAACCAATTCCCCATATTTGTCACAGAAATCTTTTCCTTTTGCATTTTTTTTGGGCATTGCTTTGCATAATAGTATATGCCTCATCTACTTTTCTTTTTAGTTCAACCTCTTCAGTCACTTTCTTCTTTTTCTGCGCAGGACGCTTGAAGGAAGACTTCGAAGTAGATGGCAGTATTTCTGCAAGACAATAATTTTTTAAAAGATGAAATTTTATTAAATAAATGCGTTTACCATCATTTAGGATATTTTCATCTATTTCAATTATGTTGTCAGGAATATTTTCAGTATGATTACTTCCGTTAGCGCTTACATCGTTCGGAGTTGTTTCATCCTGCGACAGCTGTGATGCGAGGTTCTGAAATTTGAAAATAAAGTGATAAATAAGAAAACCACATTATCCATAATTTTAATTGTTACTTTCATTTTATACTATTATATTAATATAATGTATAAGGCTATTTTCTATTATTATTAGAAAGAGTAAATCCGGTAATTGTAGCTAAAATTTGAAACACTAAATTTTATCTGAATTACTAATAATATTAATAAATGAATTAAGTATAGTACTACTCCATAAAGGCACTGATTGGTATATATTAAAGACATTTTCTCATTTATGTTTTCAGATCCCATCAAATGAAAGCGAATGGAAGAATATAGCCAAACAGTTTGAAAATATATGGAATTTCCCTCACTGTATTGGTTCAATGGATGGGAAACATATTACAATACAGGCTCCAATAAACAGTGGATCTGAATTCTATAATTATAAACAATATTTCAGTGTAGTGTTAATGGCTCTAGTTGATGCTGATTATAATTTTATATTTGCTGATTGTGGTTGTCAAGGAAGACTAAGCGATGGTGCTGTTTTTCGAAATACAGAACTTTTTAAAAAAATCGAAAATAACGGACTGCATTGCCCTTCAGATAGCCATTACCAGGGCGAAATATTCCAATTCCACACTTATTTGTGGGCGATGATGCATTTGGATTATGTAAACAAATCATGAAGCCTTATCCAGGTCTACATGAAAAAGGAAGCAAAGAAAGAACGTTCAACTATCGTTTGTCAAGAGCACGTCGCGTCGTGGAAAACGTATTTGGCATTATGGCTTCTACTTTCAGAGTCTTAAGGAAACCAATGTTACTTCAACCAGAAAAAGTTTCATTAATCGTAATGACTTGTGTCCTCTTACATAATTTTTTACGAAAAAGCAGATCATTGCGTTCGAACTATTCCCCTCCCGGAACGTTTGACTCTGAAGAAGATGGAAATATTACACCTGGTGCATGGCGTCAAAATCAAGATAATATGTCAAGTTTACTCCCACTGCGTAATATCCCAAGAAAGCCCAGCATGGAAGCAAGAACTATTAGAAATGAGTTGGCAGAATATTTTATGAGCAACGGAAGAGTATCTTGGCAAGATATATATTGTTAATGCTTAATTTTTTTTATATAAACACGCAAGTTTTCAATAAAAATATTTGAATAAAAGTAGGTATTTATTACTTACCTCTGAATTTATTGTATTCCTTGCCTCATTCTTATTTTGAAGGAAACTGGCCATTCTTTCGTAAGCGAACCAATTTGATTTATATATGTCTTCTGTACCTGCTCCACTTTTTGTAGATTCTTTAACTTTATTATTACAAGCCCTAAACGATGCCATTAGGGAATCCTTTTTCTTTTTTAATTCTGTGACAGAGTATTTGCCACCCATATTTTTCTCTATTCTTTTCCAAGCATCGAATACAAGATTTCTGTTTTTATGATCACTCAGCCATGGATTCCAAATTAATGATTCTTGTTCATAGAAATCCAAAAATTGTAATACTGTTTCATTACTCCACTCCATTTTAAAACGAAAAATAAACTGAAATTTCTCCACAAATAGCGAATAGCTTCTCGAATGTCTGTATCGACACAAAACGCAATTATTCGTCTGCTTTGAAGCGGCACAAAATACCGACAAGGACTGGGAAACGGCCAAATACGATTAATCGGCACGAGCAACCATAACAGACAAGTCGGTACTCGTCGAGTTCCGATTACTTGTTATTCGCCGCTCGCCGATTACCACATATCTGTGCCCGCCTTAACGTCAAAATATAAACAAAACAGTCATGAAGCAATATGCGACCGAACAACGTGTTAAAATTATCCAAGCCTATAATGAAAACGGCCGATCAAGGAAGAATACATTTCGTGCTTTACGTGAATTTTTTGGCGCACAAAATCGGCCTTGTGAGAGGACAGTTTGGAATTTGGTGCAAAAAATCGAGCAAACTGGATCCCTAGCTAACACCAAAACCCCTAGGCGTTCTCGTAGAGGTCGGTCGGTACACAAAATTGTTACTGTTGTCGAAAGTGTGGCCGAAAATGCAAGAACCTCGATTCGTCATCGATCGCAGCAACTGGACCTTACTTATTCCACTATACAGCGGATTTTAACAAAAGATTTGAAGTTACACCCACACAGAGTCCAAATAACACAGGAATTGAAGCCTAGGCCACACATCAGGAGAAACGATAGAATTACTGCGCGGCAAGTTTCCAGGTCGCGTTATTTGACGTAACGGCGATATCAATTGGCCGCCGCGATCCTGTGATTTAACTCCCTTAGATTATTTTCTTTGGGGTATTTCAAGAGCAAAGTCTACAAGAATAACCCGAACACAATTGCGGAGCTGAAACAGGAGATCAGACGCGAAATTACCAACATGGGACCTGATTTGTGCCACGGAGTAGTCGAAAATTTCTCGAAACGGATTACGTCATGCCACATGAGCCGCGGCGGTCATTTACTTGATATCATCTTTCAAGCATAATTGTAATGAACTGCCCTGAAAGGACAAATACATATTTTTCTATAATTTTCAATTTCTTCTTTTTTTTAAATACTTTTAATGTGGAAACCCAATTTGAATCACCCTATATATGAACAGATTGTGTTCTCATAGTAAAATATCGGTGTTTATAAACAATTCCTGGGTGTATGAAAAAATGCAAGAAGTATTAGCTAAAACATTGATTAATACCTCATTATTTCTGCCAAGATCTTCTGTCTTTGAAGGATGTTGTTTACTGTCTTTACCAGAATCGCCCTGCTCTGTTTTACCACATCCTTTAAATTGATTCCATTTTACCTTTTCGGAACCTGAAAATGAAATGTAATCAACTGTTTGAGATCTTATCATGGTTTTGAGGACAATGTTGTATCATTTTTATGTCGGTATCACGTGAAGCATAACCTTTATTATATTGACATCGGCACAAGTGACGTCACTAAACACATCTCTAAACATAGCATCTTTACGCTTTCCCTATTACGTGTCCACGCCAATTTGTTTTTATCAAATTCGACTATGTTATTCCAAGCGACGTAAAATGAAAATGTGTTTAGCCATACCTTGTCCTTGGCCCTTAATAGAATCTCCTTTTGATTTGCAGGGATCTTCCTTTTTCTTACTTAGGTCCTTCTTTTCTCTACGAGATCCTTCCGTACCTGTTTTGCAGCCTCCAAAATGGTTCCATTTTACCTTTTCTGAATCTGGATTCAATTTTAAAAACGTATACTGATACCACAGTGTTCTGAATATTTGGCAGAGCTTATTTTACTTCCTCATGGTGAGGAAGTATTGTAATCGATAAAACTTTCTAAATTGAGATATTCAAGTTCTTAGTGCAACAAAAATATCGAATCGTTCAGCCGTCTGTTACGTACATTTTTACAGCGATAGCGAATAATGAAGGGCGAAGAAAGAAAAGTATGACTACTAAAATGAACTGTAGTAATTTGTCAGACTACTGACAATCATTACATATTACTTATTTTTTTAAGGAAATATCATGGCAAAGTCTTGATAACGTTTGTGTTGGGATTGCTGCTATCCGGCCAAGAAATGAATAGGTATGGAATCATAGAATCACAAATCAAGTGATCACAAAGCCAGCAGAACCCAAATAAAAAGCTACTTTGCATCTATGAAATCAGGGCAATTTAATTAATTTAGAAAATGCCTATTTCAAGTATTCGCGATCGTATCATATTTTCGGAGAAAATGTTTTATGTCATTTTTGTGTCGCTATCGCGTGGACTACAACTCTCATTATATTGACATTGGCAGAAGCTACGTCACTCAACACATCTCTGAAAATAGCATCTTTACGCATTTCCTATTGCGAACGTATGTGTTCGCGCCAATTCGTGTTTATCAGATTTGATTTTATTATTCCAAGCGACGTAAAATGGAAATGTGCTTAGCCATACCTTGGCCTTGGCCTTTATTAGAATCTCCTTTTGTCTTGCAGGGATCTTCCTCCTTCTTACTTGGTTCCTCCTTTTCTCTACTAGAGCCTTCCATACCTGTTTTGCAGCCTTCAAATTGGCTCCATTTTACCTTTTCTGAATCTAAAAACAATGTGAAAAATTATACTGAACCCCCAATGTTCTGAATAGTTGATCTAGATCTAGAGCTTTACTCCTGTACGAGTAGTAACTTGTTGCAAACGTATAGTCCTTAGTAAAACTTAACTAACAAGCGACGTAAGCTCATCGATGTACTTCACAAGTTGACAGAGCTTCTTTTACCTCCTACTGTCGAGGAGATATTAAAGAGTTTTTAGAGCAACAAAAATAACGAATCGTTAAAACGTCGTTTGCGTAATTTTTGACAGCGATAGCGAATAATAAGGACGGAGAAAGAAAAATTTTTGTGACTACTAAAGTGAACCGTGGTAATTTTTCAGTACTGAGTACTGAAAATCATGACAGTATTCTTTTTACTTTTTTAAGAAAATACCATGGTAAAATTTTGATAATATTTATGTTATTATTGCTCCTAATCGGCCTAGAAATGAATATGTATGCAATCATAGAATCCAGATCAAGTGGCCATAAAGCCAGCTGAACTCAAATAAAAAGCTACCTTGTCACTTTGTATATATGACAAAAATTAGGGCAATTTAATTAATTTAGAAGATGTCTATTTCTTGCATTTATCTTTATGTGATCTGAAACTCATATTATTATTATTATATTGTTAGACAATATGTTTTATAAGATGAAATTATATTAATTAAGCTTTCCCAGCTTTACGAATTCCGGCAACCGCGCTGTATAAGGAGAAAATAATCCCTCTCCTATTCTTCGTAACTACCGGAGATTACGGACAACGAAACATTTTCTCGTAACGAACCATGTCACTCATTTCCGGCGGTCTATCTGCTAATCGTTAACCTGTCTATAACTTAGAAAATACTGCTTGGATTTTGATTTTTACACAAGGTTACGACTATGCGAAGGACGAAAAACTACACAACTTGTAAAATATCACGAAGCCCTTCACTGAAAATATTTTTTTAACATTTATCAGACCGATCTAGATGCAATTTTTAATTTATCATAAGAATGCAATACACAAATCTTGAATTACAAGCAGCTGCAATAATTAGAATGACATCAAATAATATCGAACTTTCACAAAGCATCATAATAAATTAAATGCATAGATTATAAGAGGCCGAATTGTTCGGTCTCTCTGTACGAGGCATAAATACATAACTTATAAGCCTTGTGGATCCTTTGAATCACCTTATATGGGGTTTCTTGAAGAACAAAGTTTGGAGCAAATTGCCGTAGTCGCTTTGCATGGTGAACTTCTGAATATGCTTGCTGAAGACTTACCACCTCCTTTTTCCTTGCAAGGATCCTCTTTCTTTGCGTTACTACTGTTAGCTTTCTTAGCAAAGGATCTGGTGGAGTGCATATCTTGTGGTGGGGGTGTTAATGGTTTTGGCCGAATCCTCAAAGTATTTTTTCGTTTACGCCCTGCGCTACATAGGCTGACGTGATCAATCATTTTGAAAGTCAACCTTGGCATTGGTTTGTGTCTGTAAAATAAAAAAGAACATCAAATTATGAATCAGACAAAGCATTTTGTACGTCAGTTACAATTTCTCACGGAAATTGGTGAGTAGTGTATTCTCGTAATAAATCGAAAATGAAGTATGTTTTTGGGTGTTACATACGGAGCCTGTAAATTAAATGATAAAACTTTTTTTTAATTTTTTATTCAAATTTTATTACAATTTTATATTGTCACTCTCAAAATAACTTCTTTCTGAAGCCGCAAATCGCTGGAGACAGTTATCCCACTCCTCATAGTAGTACTGGAACTCCGATACTGGAATAGCCATCAGCTGGTCGGTTACAGCCGTTCGAATGTCTTCGACTGTTCCCTTGAAGTGATTTTCCAACTTCGGCACAATAAAAAGTCAGCTAAATAAGGAGGATATTTGGTCTTGATCTGATGAACCGGTCATTCTGACTGTCAACCGACGATCTGATTGCACAAGGTCACGGATTCTGTGGATATTTTCATCGCTTCTTGAAGATGAAGGTCTTCCGCTTCGTGGTTCTCCTTCAATCGACCCTCTTCCTTCTGAAAATGCCCTAAACCACCGAAAAAACTGGGCTCTTGACAAAACACGTAGGCCTGCTGAAGTTAAGCAAGAGTTTCCGTTGCACTCTGCCCACGTCTGAAGCAAAACCTGGTAGCACACCATTGCTCGAAATTTTTCATTTATTTTTAGAACTCAGTAGGAAAAACTGCTTAACAAAAAAAATCACTACGACCAACCAAATGACTCGAGTGAGTTCAAACTTGCACTGAAGTCAGATCACGTGTTCCCCTGTCTCCCCTCCATGCCCAGCGCCAGATCGAACGCTACTTCGCCAGTCTCGTTACTTAATTCACAGACCTCGTATGACGTATATCGCGAAAAACAACGCGACCCATTTCCATTGGTTTGTCTGTCTGTCCGCTAATTCCTGGCTACCCGATAACTCAGGAAACTCCGCTCGGACTTCGATGAGATTTTGACACAAGGTGACTACTATGAAGCCTTTGCAGGCTTCAAAAATTGGTCCAGGAGCTACGGAAAAACAAAAACGCTGAATCTTCGTTTCTGGACGTTTAGAGAATTCTGTTCATTTTCAGAAAATATTTGTAGGGTTGAAAATTAGGGGTTGCAGGAGGTGTAAATATTGCATCTTTGGTATCAGTGAGGGGAGGGAGGGTGGTAGGTGGGGCTGGACGTCTTCTGGAAGCGTAAATCCCTGCCTCAGGCAGTCCTAGGCTTTGCTTGTTTTACGCGGCTTCGTTTTTAAATTGTAATGGTGGCTTCGCGCAATGTCAACATGTTACTGGACCATTAGGATTCTTACTAAAAAATGGCCTTCGTAAGTAAAGTAAATATCCAAAACGGTGTATCGATCAGCTTTGTGTAATTCTCCAAGATATTAGTACCTTTGCCTTTTGTTGGATTTTCTTCCTATAAAGGCGGCATTATCTTTTTGTATGTGTTTCTCTGAATGTGTAGAATGTTTTATCGTTTCATTTTTGATGCCTTCCTTGTTACTCGTTCCATCGTCTGTGGATTTGAACGTAGAATCTTCCTCCAAGAATAAGAAACCAGCGGACTTCTTTTTCGACTTACCACTACCACGACCTGATCCAGTGCCCTCTCCTGAGAGACCGAATTGGCATCCTGGAGAATCTAAAAATTAATAGATTTGTTTAAGCTAAAACATGAAATCAGGAAATAAAACCAGACTTTACAATTATTTCGCAAACCACGGGTATTTTGGTCTAATATGATTACACTTCCATATGATGTTTTCGAGTTCCATGTACACAAAGTTCAGCTCTACCCCTTAAAGCTGACGAGGTATTGATTACCATACTTTTTATGTTTTAAGCAAAATACATAAACAACTACTCTACAAAACTCAGAAACAGGTAGGTAGACCTATCCAAATATGTAATAAGAGCATAAATATAGCAAAAAGCTTATCTAGGTCATTAGTTTAACGGCCTCTAGGATCCTGGATATTTTTAACATAACAAATTTTGAAAAAGTTCACGAACTGTCTCAAACACTTCATCTTTGCAGGTTTGGGCCACCCTGTACATATGACAGAACTGATCTATTGCTGGCTAGCCATTAGAGGTGACGAAAATGCAAATAAATTTCAAGCAACTATTATATAGCAGCTATTAGCATAAATAATAATAATAATAATAATAATAACGTCTTTATTGGATAACCCGGAGGGACATAAACAGCGAAGTTTAGCCAAGGCTACTCTTACACTTAACTGTTTATGTCGGTTACATCTGATGTTCAAAACATGGAAAAAAAATAAGAACATTGAAAAAAAGAACACATATATACCTAAGTATAAAATGCAAATAGACACAATCTATATCTGTAGCAGAAATGCTTATTTAATCAATAGCGAGCAACATGCTTTTAGTATGTTTACGAAAACTTTCCAAAGACATCAATTTAATACTGTTGTCCAACTGATTATAAAATAGTGCTGCATTATATGTAAATCCTCGTTGGAATAATGCAGAAGTGTGTGGGGTGATTCTGATACTATAACGATTCCTAACAGCCCTGTCATGCACTTCGTAATTAAATCTTAACTTAGCTCTCAGATATTCAGGCTTTGATGACAATATTATTTTATGAACTAAAACTAAGAATTTATGTTTAACCAAACTTCCTAACCTAAGCCAGTTCAATTCCCTATATTTATCAGTTACGTGATCGTATTTACGCAACCTATAAATAAAGCGAACACAGTTATTTTAGATGATTTGAAGACGATTTTTGGTCAATTGATCCAAACATGGATAATAAACGACATCACAGTAACTGAGCATTGACATCACCAAAGATTCGCACAGTTTTTTTCTCAGCTTGAAGTTAAGCAAGTAGCGATTGGAATAAAGAGCCCTAGAAGTTTTTTTCATCAAATTAGCTATTTGGCTGCGGAATCTTAATTTTGTGTCAATTTCCACTCCTAGTACCTTGTTTGAGTATGCTGTAATGCTATGCCATCAATAGTCAGATGGAAAGAATCTTCGACAGTTTTCCTCTTCTGATCAGAACAAAACAATAACACTTGTGTCTTATCTGGATTAATAGCAAGATTATGTTCCATAGAAAACTGATGTGCCTTATCTAAATCAAGCTGTAAAATGTCTGATGAATTTTGCGTATCTGAGGCGTCGAAATGGAATATTATTTGAGTATCGTCAGCAAATGTTGGTATCCCTGAATTGTCAACTGCTTTGTGCAGGTCACACGTGTTAATCAAAAAGAGCACAGGTCCCAAAATACTCTCGAACTGACAATATGCCGTAATAGAACGAGGATTACCAACTTGAAAGCGCTAAATGTCAGGAAACTCTTCAAGAAGAAACATTTACACTTTTTTTACTTGCTAATCTCTGTAACATACAATTTTTTAAATTAGCCGAAAGCCATTCCCCATAAGGTTTCTATGGACCCAACTACTTCCAAAAAAAATAGTGTTTCAGCCACATACCTGCGCTTCTGAATTCAGGCAACGATCTTGAAATAGCAAGGTTTGTACCAGCTGATGCTTTCTTCCGTGAATTGCCGCCCTTTCCTGGGCAAAATACGCTGCATACACTATTTATAATACCCTTACAGCTGTCTAAAATTCCCTTTTTCTGTTCTGGCGGCTTGGGAGGCTCAGCGCTTAGCTTTATTTTCTTTTCTGGCTTAGGAGGGCTGCTTCGACCTAAGCCTGGAGGAGAACTTTGTGCTGGAAAAAGAGAAGTACGCAGAATTTAATTTTCATTTTGCGTCATAATGATTTATTAGAGAAATAAGAATGATCTAGTTAAAGGGAAAGAGAATCCTAAGTAGTGGGAAGTTTGGATTTATTGTTGCAAGTTGTTCAAGAGGGTATTCAAAAGATGGACGCATAAAATGGGTACCCCAATTTTTGTGGGAAAACTTTTTATTCGACATTGAGAAAACGCATTTTTTGGGATTTAATCGAAAGTGTTGGCAGGAACGAAAAACTCTTCATATACCATTTTTAGGTATTTATGAGACCTACAAAATGAGATAACACGTGAAAAGATCCGCCTAATAGCAAAAAAGTTATTGCCGAAAACCGAGGCAAACTGCAGGCTTTGGCACTGGTTGGTAATGTGACGATGGTTTCGCGCAGATATTTGAAATTCTTCAAATTCGTAGGATCCGTACTTCTAAATGACCTCAATAAAATTGGTCAAGTAGTTTTTGAGAATTTCTAATTGTTTATCCCAAAACACCTGTTTTCCTGTCATCACTACAAGTTGATTGTGCAATATACAGGGTTAGTTCAAACGGCATTTTAAAGCACCTTGTCGATATGAATCGCAAACCAGTCCGGAAAATAAATGTTATTTTTATGCAAAAAAAGGATGGGTTACCTTCTTTCTTCTAAACAAATTCGAACATTTCGTATTTGTGAGTAAATCGCAACAAAAGATGAATAGACACATCCGTTTTGTTTTAAAATATTTATAGCCACGTATGTTTTCCGAATATCGTAGCGCATTTGTTCAATTACTAACAAATACGAAATGTATAGTGCTCAATAAACTATTTGTGATGGCCGGAGAACAGGTGTTTTGGGGTAATCAATTAGAGATTCTCAAAAAAATACTTGCACAATATAATCCAATTTTGTTGTTGTTATTAAGAAGTATGAATTCTACGGATTTGAAGAATTTCAAGTAGTTGCATGAAATTATCGTCGCATTACCAACAAGTGCCAAAACCTGCATTTTGCCTCGTTTTTCGGCCATAACATTTTTAGTATTAGTCGGATCTTTTCACGTGTGGTCTCATTCTGTAGGTCTCATAAATACCTAAAAATCTTGTATATATTTTTCGTTCCCGTCAACACTTTCGATTGAATCCCAAAAGACACGTTTTCTCATTCTTTGTTGTCAAATAAAAAACTGGTGTACCCATTTTATGCGTACATGTTTTAAATACCCCCTTGAACAACTTGCACCAACAAAACTGGACTTTACAATTATTTCGGGGAAATTTGCTAATATGATTAGTTTATATCACTGCCATAAGTAATCGAGTTCATGATTTTAGAACTAACGTTGTCTAGGAGACAACGTCATGTTACATATTGATGAATTTTATCAAATATCTGCAAGGATGATGCTCTTTTTTCCGCCAGGTTAATGACCTTCACATTCGTCATCGGAGTAAAGGTCATTAGGTAATATCATCTTGTATAGTATATCAGATATTATTCGTCTGCCTTCGTATGTGCAAGCATCGATCAAGTATGCCCTATGCTGTATCTGAACGTCACACACTCAGTAAAGTAGGATCGCGAATTCCTGATGATAGTTATGGTGAGATTACTACTATTGCTTAGGAAGGTGCTGTTATCGATGAACTACTGAGGAATGATAATAGTAATAAAACATTGGCTGATACTACTATTTTACTATAGATATATACTTACGTCGACAGACCGGCCTCACAATTTTAGCTTTAGGATGCTTCGTTCCTATACGCACCGGAGCCCAATCTTTCTTCAGCGCTTGTTGGGGACCTTTATTCAAGGGTATACAGGGCGCTTCTTCTTTAACTTTAGATGGTGGTATAGGAGACGGGTGGGGTTTTAGTTCATCGACGTTCTGAAATGGATTGGAGAAACTGATTCCAACTGGTCCAAAACTTCATAATAATGAAGATACCAAATAGGGAACTACCATCCTTAGAAGTGGCGTAGATGTGCCCAAGCTTAAAGTGAATGTTTACATGCTATATTTTCTGTAAAATTTTGGAGTGTTTCTTAGGCCCCATACTGAGACTTTGTACATAATTATATACGCAATACAGCACTTCTTGGATAGTCATGAATTGGACATGCATTTATGATGAACTAACCTCCAGATGGCATGCCAAACTAACGACTCACGCACTATCAATAACGGCCTTCAGTATCATGTATCTATGTATAGTGTTTGAAGTTTTAGCTATTGGTTGAGGTCATCTTTACATGCATATCTATCACAAAATTATGCGGTTAAAATCCGCAGTCTGATCTAATTAATAAAATTCATGAAAGCAGTAAACCATTTGGAAAAAACCTTCACGTCGATTTTGATCTTCGAATATGTAATATTTGAATGATGATGCAAATTTTAATAACATATTCTAAAAGTTTGCTACATAATAGCTGCTATATTACACAATAAGACGACGCTAAATGCGGTCGATTACGCGCCCATACTTTCATCAATTTAAGAAACTCAAGCAACATTCTGATGCTTTTTTAGGTTTATGAGAGGAAAAATCCAGCACATACATTTAGATTTTATTAAATATATATTGGGATAGATAACAAATATATATATATATATATATAACAGAGAAAAGCAATGTATATATACATGTACATGGTGGCCAATATACAACTGACTGACTTAAATTGCGCGCCATTTTTGATACACGCATTTCATTAGATGGCGCCGAAGTAGTTATTAAAGCACATGTGTCTAATTCATCATAGAGCGCTACACGATCTCACAATGCGTCCTGAGACGTCTACCAGACATCGTTATCAAGAGCTGGATATTCGCCGCACGTCATCATGCACTATTTTAAAAATAAAGACTTGCACAGATCAAATTATTCGATTGTACCACTTTAGACTATGCATACTGGTATGCACATATACAGTTCAAATTATTTGGGAAACGTTATGATCTTTGTACTTTTTAACGTTTTTTTAAGAAAAATGCGAAGAAATGTGGAATATAATACTTTTAGGGATTAAAGCTGTACATACACCTAAAGTTAGTGATCACAGTTGGACAATGCTGCCCTTGGTAGGACATTTTTCTGATACAAAAATTAAGAAAATCGTAAATACTATTAAGTACGAAAAACTTGAACGAGAACTTGCTGGCTGCTATTGGAATTTTGGTGAGAATATGAAAAAAATATATGACAACATAACAGGAAATATAAAAACTTGTTTAGATCTTGCAACTGATAAAAAAGTGATTTGCTCGACAAAAAATACACCCTGGTATAACAAGAATATTAAGGCAGCTCAAAATTTGAGAGACAAACAATACAATAAATGTATATTCACAAAATCAAATGATGATTGGGAGGTATATAAAACTCTTAGGAATAAATGTGTGTATGTAATTAGAGAAGAAAAAATGAAATTCTACGATAAACAAATCGATAATAACAAGTGCGACAGTGTAAAGATGTGGAAGACTTTAAAAAGACTGATCAATTCGAAGCCGCATGATTGTGTAAATCAAGTTCAATTCGAAAACGGTACCGAAACAAATTCTTTGGTGATTGCAAACTAAATGAATATTTTGTGGAAAGTATTGTTGATATTGTGGGTACTGCCAATCCTGCACCTGACTATATGAAAATCAGTTTCTAGGGGAAATATTGCATACACTTTCAAAATTTCACAGCGTATCATTGAATTATCTAAGAAAAAAGTAAACAGTTTAAAATCAAATAACAACTGTGCCGAAATCACTACTAAAAACGTGCTGAAAAACTGTTTCGAAATTTTGGGATATACTGTATTAAATTGGATCAATTGTTCAGCAGTTCTTTCCTGAAAATTTGAAATGCTCTACAATAACACCAGTTCTCAAAATAAAAAATTCTAAAAGATGCAGCCATATGAGACCAGTAAATGTGTTACCAGACATTGAAAAATTATTAGAGTCCATAGTGCATGACCAATTAATGCAGTTTATAGAAGAAGGCGCAAGCAGGCTTTCGAAAAAAATATTCCACAAAAACGGCTTTCCAGTTGGTAACTGAGAATTGGACAAGAGCCATAGACTCGGAAGAAGTTGTCATATCAGTATTTTTGGATTTGAAGAGGGCATTTGAAACGATTGATAGAGGTATTTTGTTAGGTAAATTGAAGGAATATGGTATAACAGGAAGTGTTTTAGATTGGTTTAGAAATTATTTGTCTAAAAAGATGCAAGTTACAAAAGTTAATGACACAATTTCATCAAAAATTGAAAATACGTTGGGTGTTCCACGGGGCAGTATCCTGGGACCACTTCTTTTATTTTATGCATAAATGATTTACCTGCCATAGTCAAAAAATGCAAAATTTTCGCCGACGACACTATGATTTATATAAGTAATAAAAATATTCAGACTGGTATCTCTTATATACATGAAGACTTGAAACTTGTCTGAAAATGGTTAGCATCTAACAAACTAAAATTAAATACAAGTAAAACGAAAGCCTTGTTAATCGGAAAAAAACAATGTACAAATGTTCAAATGAATATTGGTGGTGAAGATATTGAATTCGTAGAAGATTTTAAATACCTGGGGGTTTTTGTTGACTCTCGATTAATTTTTGATATTCATTATGAAAAAGTTATAAATAAGATTAGTAGTGGGATATTTATCGAGAGTTTCTGGATGTCTGAGTTCATATAGCAGAAAAAGTATCTATAATACCATCATTCTTCCAAATTTCTTGTACTGTTCGACTATTCTATATTTAGCAAATAATTCCATCTTTGAAAGACTGCAAATTTTACGAAATAAGTGCATGAGAATAACACTAAATAAAGATAAATATACTCCAATTAGGCAAATGCTTAGCAAATTGAAATGGCTCAATGTAAAAAATTTTATCATATATCTTGTAATGATATTCATTTATAAAGTAAAAAATAATATATTTCCATCAAGTCTCTTTTTTACCATCATCAAATGTCGACCATCATTTACATAATTAAAGAAATAAAGATGACTTCCATTTAATGGCCAAAAAGAGATAAAAGACCAGAAAACTTTGACAAAATTTAAAGTAAAATTGAGGAATCACTTGTTAAATCTACAATTATAGGTTGCCCAGCATTTACATCATACACCAATGGCTGGAATTTACTAGTTCTAAGTTGTTTACAATTATTCTGTTTATGTAGCCAAATGTGCTAAATAAATCTTTCTCCTACTACTACTACTATTTGCGGCCATACAAAATTCAGTTAAATCAAGAACTACAGCCTAGTGACCATGAAAGTCGCCGACAATACAGTCATGCGATATTGCAGCTTGATACCTGAAATAACGATTTTTACCGACAATTTATAACGAGCGACTACTACATCCTCGTCGAGTCACAGTTTGGTGCGGTGTTTGGTATGGAGGTGTCATTAGACCTTACTTCTTTGAAGACGTTGCAGGTAATTAATTCCCTTACTGTCACTGGCGAGCGCTACCGTGATATTATGCAAAACTTCTGCCTCCTCAAATCTAACAATTTAACCTGCGAAAGTGATTCTAGCAAGACGGAGACACTTGTCACACAGCTAGGAAAACAATGAAACTTTTGCGATGAATATTTCCGGTTCAATTTCCCGAACTGTACTGTAGAGTAGCTGAAGAACAATATTACGGAAGCGATTGAAAATATTCCTGCCGAAACCTACCAAAAAGTGATGGAAAATGTAATCAAGAGGGCTTAGGTTTGCGAGGACATTTGTCCGACATTATTTTTCTTACATAATTTCTAAGTTTCAATAAAAGATGAAGATGCAACATGCCGAACTTATTTAAATATAAACCATAAGCTATATCAACTTGCAAACAATAAGCATTTATTTGGTCTGAGAATTTTAAAGTATTAATAAAGGCGTAACTAACCAGATCCTCTTTTGGTACCGGTTTCTTCTTGCAGTATCGCAGATCGGTCTTTGACGGTACGCATACAGGGTTGGGTGCAACTTTCTTCAAATTAGCTTTGCTTGATAAACATGGGGTATTAGCTTGTGGTTCAGATTTGTTAGGCAGATCACCAAGAGGTGAAGGAGGTGCATCAAAAATTTCATTCCGAGGTAATGGTAAGGCTGACCTGCACGATTTTTGCTTTGAACATTGTCCTAAAAAGTAAGTTGAAGTAAATTGAAACATAACTAACAATAATTCTAGGTACTAAAGGAACTGGTAGAAACAGCAAACTAAGTCGGTGCCCTATTCCATAAAAGGTATGGTGTGATCGTTATAAGTGAATTTACTTGTAGCTTGTACTAATACGAGGTATTGTGTTCGATGTGAGATTCAATCACGATATACTAACACTACTCATTTTACTAGTTTATATTTGCAAGTTGGGACGTTTATGTTCCATAAAAGTACAAATGGTAGTATGTTTCTTCTTTTTTAAATGCATTTGCTATAAGTCATTCCAGTTTGGTAGAAAAGAATGGCACATATTTCTTGGTACAAAAAGGGGTCAGATCAAAAGATATTTAAAAGGTTCTGGTATGTTGGTAATATTAAATTATAGAATTCGGATTCAACGAATAGTACATAGGAGAATTAATATACCAGCCAAGATCAACATCATTAAGTATCTTAATAAAAGCACTGCTATTTTTCAGATTTTTTTAAATAAAATGTAATAGATTACGTTAGTATATAAGATCGTATTCTATTTACAGATTTGTCTTTACTTTTTGAACTCTGATATCCTCTCATTTTTGAGTGGATTTTCTTCTTACAGTATTCGAACTGAGGAGCTCGTTGTCGTGGAAATCCTAGTTTCGCGATGGCTCATCTTTCAGGGAAGTTCTGCCAATACCATCTTCAAAAGTATCATATTCAATTATATTGTATGACGAGGAACTTGTTCTAAATTAAAGGAGAAGCATCTCTAAAGCATCGCCACGTCTTTTTCGGTATGACGTTACCGGACAGCCAGTCTTATTTTTCCAAGATGTTCTAATATATATATATATATATATATATATATATATATATATATATATATATATATATATATATAAGTTATGGTATCCTTAAAGCATTAACACCATCTAAGTCCCTACGAGTATAACACCGTCCCATACTCGTGAGACAGGATGTGATGTTTGCATTTTTACCCGAGACTACTGATTTCTGGAAAATTCGTAAGTGTAATCTTATAATATAAAAAGAATCTTTGACCATTCTCTGTACTCATTTCGTTACTTGTTCTTCTGTTCTCAACTGTTGCTGATGTCTCAATAAAAGTTAGTCTACAAAAGTTACTGAAGTATTTCTCTAACATCATTTGGCGATTATAAGAGAAATAGGAATGCGAGTGATAATTCCTCAGTGCAATCAATCACCCACGATCCACACGTATTTAATTTATATGCATGTGCTTCTGTTGTTTTGTACATAAATCTACCAAGTAAAACATGCTCCATAATACTTTTACAAATAAACATATTTACGAAATGTCATATTGACAGTGCTACACTTGTAATTTCTGGGTGATACGTGAAACAAAATATTATTTGACCATATTTACAAGTGCTTGTACTTGTAACTTTTACTTTACCAGTATACCACTTTTATGGAATAGGGCCATGGACATCACCAAACGGAGCTTGAGCATAGGATCAACTTGTTTTTAAATACTCCGTCTCCTTAATAAAAAGGATTATACTGACCTGCCGGTATTTCAGTCACCCTTCCTTTAAATCTACCCTCCGCTCCAGTAGGTGTTGGATTTGGCGGTGGGATCAAGCTTTGGTTCGGTGGACCCTTTGGTTCCATGCTTGGTCTTGAACAGGAACGTTGCATTTGGCAAGTTGATTGAGCTGGAATGGAGAAAATATGACATTTGAATATATTGTCATGGAAAAATCTGTGCTACAAGTTCATACATGTAGTTAAACTTGAATACGCTTGAGAAGTGTAAGTCCTCACTTTATACAAAACCAATATAAGATCGTACGACAAACTATAAAATTCGTTTTGTGTTTAACATATGGATAAGTCCCTGGACGTCTACGAGTTTAATCGATGACGTATATTTTGTTATAGTATTTACTGCATTTTTGATTATTTGTTCGGAATTTTGCCTTGTTGCTCTAATTTGAATGCAATTTTTTTGAAAAACCACAACCAAAAATTTTTTTGATGAATTGAGGACGATTAGATGATCCAAGTGATATGTGATTTTTGTTATGTTCATCTTAATGTCGTATTGTAGTTTATTGCTAAATACACTATACACACAGAGTCGAAATCCAAGCGCTCTTTGGAGACCATTGTGGCCAGCTTTTCACATTGAGCCAACTTTCCATACCGTTTGCAACTAGCCTCCTATATCACAGAACAAAATATCTTACACATTTCATGAGGCTTTTTCGCCGAGCAATCAATTTTCATAGGACAATCTTCTGGCATGGGAACTTGCTTGCAGTAATCGGCCCCGATTCCCTTGGCCTCCGCAGTCTTCCTCTTGATCAACTCTTCCCCGCCACACTTATTGCACTTTACCTCCCCAGCTTGTACATTGGGGACTTGAGTTTGACATGGTTTTGGTTCACCATCACAACAAGAACGCTTGGGTAAACTTTCCGTCTTCGGACAAGTGATCTCCGCAGGTCCCATGGATCTTGGTGGTTGGAATTGCGAGGGACATGGCAGCTTGAAATAATAAATGAACAAATAACGAAGAAGTGTCCATTTTCACAACGTAAGTAAGAAACCAGCTATTATTATATATCACGGGCAATGATGATAATTGGGCATTGTCGTTGGTAGCCAAGGAAAACCGGGCAATGGTGATATAAAAATATACGGATGAAAATAGAACAAACCAAACATTATTAAAACCTGGAACCTGGAGTTAACGTCGAACACTCGATAACTATGCATTCTTGAAATAAAGTTCAGAGATCAAAAACGAATATTGTTATGATATATATTGCACTCTGGTCATATAGGAAGAGGAAAAGTGGGTATACATATACATGTTTTTTACAGACGTTACGGAGTAGATCATGCTGCTTATACGGTTCATGACTACTTGACCTCATGCATTCTAATGTAAAATCTTGAACTCGACAAGAATCTGTTGTCAAAAGTGGTGGTTGCTACTCGAATTTAGAAAGATGACCTACAAATGGCTTCTGAGGTCATCGTTTAGGTCATCAGTGAGACATCGACAAATTGCTTATTTGATTTCCCCGTATATTTGCACTTCATAATACTTGCAACAAACGAATGACATGAGAAGATCTTGTCGCGGATGGTTTTGGATCATGTTCGTTGCACCGTCGTCGTTAATCGCCAGGCCTCGCACCCAACACCCAAAAAGCTGACAAAAGCCAAAATAAGAATAACTAATTGGCCATAAAAACAAAACATTGTTTACACTACCTTCGCTATGACAGATCGTCAAATTTGAAGTTTGGGGTAAGTCACTGATAAATTTTTTTAAGTAGTGCAATAATCATATCGTTTTTCTTGTTTGTAATGTTTGAAATATATTTCTGTGTTTTGTAAAGATAATTCTTACTTGGCAGTCATTATAATATTGTAATGATCCTGTCTCCTATACTATTCGTTATTTGTTTGACTGGGCGGTCCGTAAGACCTTTGCCCATTAGTCACTGTCTAATGTACGAATGTACGTTACTCGATCCTGTCAGAAACCAGACTATGTCAAGGAAAATGAAAAAGGGGAAGATAAGAAAAAAGGAGAGTAGCACAGATAAACAGAAGTGTACCAGTTTAAGAGGAAACACCTAGGCTTTTTGACTTGGTTCACGGAATAATTTTGAGGTGAACTAAAAACAAACTTTGATTCAACTTTTTTCGGGGTGGCCGATTAGACATTAGCAACAGCAAGTTTTTTTGTTTATTATGATTTGTTATCAGCCGGTAGAAATTTTTGTAGATAGGGAGGTAGCAAATTTTCTCGTGAGGATCAAATCTCAAAAATCTTGAATATAGTACAAAAAAACTATGTAAAATAGAAAAATTTTAGGAGGCAGCCAGATTCTCAGGAGGTCAGTGCTTGAAGACTAATTGTATTGTTCGTTGGTTGTACATGTTTGTAGGTAGTAAGAGAGACAAACTCAAACTGACGCCGAACATAATATTTTAAGAACTGATGACAGCGTTACGTGGAAAGTGCACAGTCTACCTACTTTACGCCATTTTTCGTAAACAATGATGGACATGCGATCTCTGTCAACTAATTTATTTTAGCCCGAATTGAGCAGTTTGGATATGGCCGACACGTGGTTTCAGCAGAATAGTGGTAATAGCACACAATGATGTGTCATAAAGCATATTCTGCATAAACCTATAGAGCTAGAGTTGGCTCTCGCAGAGGTGACGTGAATTGGCCAACAAGATCGTGCAATTTGAACTCGTTAGATTTTTTATTTGGGGTGTTCTAGAGTCGCAGGCCTCTGCCGATGAGCTAATATCCAACAGTTTCAATTTCAATAATGACCTTTCCTAAGACTCTAATATGACATAAATTGGATGCTTGAAGCGCTAGTCATGCACCGACATGAAGGAAAATGCAACTGGTAAAATAAATGAAAAATGTTACTGACCTTGACTTAAGTGAAAATATGTTGGATAGATAAATATGCTTTAATGTCTCGAGAATGCAATCATGCTTAATGACCGAGCTAACTTAAAACTGAACTGTAATTTAATTACAGAAGTGGATCTTACGTATGTGAATTGTAGAACTCAACAACGGTATAATATGGTTTACATATTAAAAGGTTTCCAAGCTCACTGCGGAATATCTTTGAACTATACATTCCTTTGATAGATCAGGGAGACACAAGTAAATTTTCAGACCATTATAAATCATTGAGTCTTCCACAAATATTGTTTTAGGTACCTACTACTAATTTGAGATCATGTTATCGTCTAATATCGTAACTCATATTTAATGTTTGAAATTTAGATTTATTTTCCAAAATACAAATCAAGGCCTGCATGTAGCTTTTGCTTTTAGTTATTTGTCTAATAGTTCGTTTTTGTAAAAACAACACCTTTTTAAACAGTTTTCTGAACAGACTTACCAAAAGGGAGTGCTGTATCTCAATCTACTTGCAAAAGAGGCAAAGTAAGTGCTTACGGCTGTGCTTTTCGCTACGTTGCGTTGTATTAATTGTTCTTATAATGAAGGAAATCTTTGCTAATTGAATAAGCAATTTTTCTACATGATTATTAAAATCTAATTCATGATCAATGGTCAGTCCTACAAATTTGGTAGTGCCTGTTTGAATTTATGAAATCCAGGAAAGCATTTAAATTTCATGAATTTTGTCTTTCTAACATTGAAAGTCAAGTAATTGTTTTCTCACCATTTTTTGATTGCTATGTATCACCATCAGTTTTTGTCTATATTTCATTTATATATTTGTCTTTCCAAGGAATTGTGGTATCGTCAGCAAAAACTAAGAATTTACCATTTATGCTTAAGTTTAATAAACCGTTTTTATAGACTAATAATAGGACCGGACCTAACACTGATCCTTGAGGTACCCCTGTGTCTGTGTTTATATTATTAATTTATCCTATCCTGCAAATCTTCACAACGGACAAGTTTCGATATGCAAGATTTCCGAATTCGCAGCTAGTTACAATAATGAATCAAGGAAGTAATGACATCCTCCATTAGATTTTGGTATTTTACATAACCTTGTTCATTTTAGCCAGGTCTCCGGTTGCATTTTTTCTCTGTATAAAATTAGTTTTGTCATACCTTACAAGGATCTGGTACTGATGGAGGGGGACTTTTCGGTGGTGCAGGTTTGATGGGATCCTTCCTGCTAACAAGGACTATGGTTTCCTTACTCAAGTCCTTACATGGAGGTGGTTTGAAGGGTGCTTCATCAGGACAAAGAGGTTTTGGTGGATCGAGAAGCTTCGGGAATGGTTCGGTTTTCATGGGTTCAGCCACTTTGAAAGGAGACGGAAGACCAGATACTGAACTACATGGAGGATCAGCCTAAAAAAGGTTATCAATGTTGTTGGTATGATTCTTGATATTCTTGACAATACAACAAGTCAAATCAAAGACTCCATATTCCGAAAAATAATATATTTTCAATTAGAATATTTTATGTAACTGAGAAAAGTTGTCCTTCGGTAACCTCGTCGATTGTTCTTCCTAAAAGCCAGAAAAGAGGTAGCTTGTTGCTTACTTATCAATTGACATTCTAGCTGCATGAAATTCGATACCATAGGCGTAAATATAGCAAGAATTACCCCCCAATTCTTTTTGGGGCACCTCTCACAGTCTGAATCAATACTAAATATGGATTTTTTAGGCTAGGCAATCTTAATAATAATAATAATGTTTATTTCCAACAGGCAGATACACAAAAGTACAGGAAATATCAGTGAATATCACTTGAGCACAATAAACAGATACATAGATAAGAATAATAGTATATAAGTAAATAATCGACTATATCCTACCATAGAAGTTCTTCAAGGTAGAGTTTGATGACGCGAGTCTTAGTGTCTAAATACTATATGTCTCAGTTACTGATACTAATTGAATATTGTACACATATGAACGGGATACTTGGAGAAGACATTGATGTGGCAGAAATCACAGTAAAATGTAGCACAATAATGGTTACGTAAGCGAAAAGTATTAAAACATATCTTACTTAAAATATTTGGACAATAAATCGTATTGTACACATCATGGCCGAAACCTCTTTGTGGATAGAAACCATTGCATTTGAAAAAGTATACTTTACTGCTCTTCGTTAAATTGATTCCAATCTGCTAATAGAGTTTTTATAAATAGGTGAACAGATCAGCGATACATATTCAAGCTTGCTTTTCACGTTTATCTTGAGTGTTTCAAGATTCGAGAAACCTAACATAGTACCCTAGCATTCGGAAAGCAGACGATGTAATGCTATTTATGTGATCATTAAAAGTGAACTTGACATCAAATGTAACACCTAGGTCTTTATAATTGTTGCTCCTTTCTAACCTTACCTGATTAATACTGTAGTCATCATAAAGCATAACATTTTGTTTCCTACAATATGCTACTATTTTACATTTTGACACATTTAGTGTGAGGAACACCATGAATTGATAACCTCCAAATTATTTTGAAGAAAATTACAGTATTCGGATAATACGATATTATTATAAATGTTTAAATCATCAGTAAACAATAAATGATAACATTTAATATCAAGCAACAAATCATTAATAAAGATTAAAAATAATAGAGGTCCCATGTTAGACCCCTGGGGAGCTCCTGAAGTAACTATGTAGTTATTAAACTTGAAACTACCATATTCTACAAACAGTGTTCTGTCCGAACGATATGACTGGAGGAGTGAGAGCAGATTTTCAAAAATCCTAAGATTAATAAGTTATGCAGTAATAAGCAATGATTGACTTTTTCGAAGGTTTTCTGTATATCTGTATAAATTTCATCATTCTGGCCGTGCTGATCCAGAATCTTGGCAACAAACTGGGTAAAACAAGCTAAATTAGATGTTGTAGATCGCCCAGAAACAAATCCAATTGAGAGATATGGGGCTTGAAAAAGTTATAAGTATGCTCATAAATGATTATCTCGAATATTTTGCCAAAATTACACAAAATGATAATCTGGACTGTAGTTTGGGAAAAGAACAAATGCGTAACATCAGATTGAAAATAACAGAAAGTGGTCTAGCAAGAGCGTGAATCCAATCTTTGACTATGAAGCTAGGAATATTGCCCACTCCGGAGGTCATCTTATCCTTTAATTTTCTAGCTGCTAGAATGACATCATTTTCAGTTATGGTGTAGAGATGCAAACAGGCGTTGTAACCTTTTAAATCAGCATAGCTATATGGTAGATCCTGCTGAGAAAACACGCTAGAAAAAATGAAGCAAAACCAACAACGATTTCTTGAGGTGAATCATATATGTGGTCGTTGAACAACATACCACCAGGAATCCTTGACGTACTTTCTTTAGCATTAATAAACGTCCAGAACTTTTTCAAATCTTGAGTTATATTGTCTTCAATGTTTTGTAAGTAAGCTGAATATGCGGTAATAATCTCTAAGTCTTCAACTACCAGCACTGAATATGCTTGGTGGTGAATCCGAAATGCGAGAAACAATATTTTGAGACCACAATGACAGTGTTTGCCACTTGAAAAAACAGTTAAATATACAGCAAAGCTTCTAAGCATGTCAGAGCTAATACGAGACGATGACAAAAAAAATGGAGCAGGAACGTATGACTCACTTTTCCGTTTTGGGGAATATCGTTTGATATCTGAACACTATTAAAACGGAGGCAGTCAGTGGATATGTTGATAATATCATGTTCTGATGAAATGTTGAAAACAAAAGATACTTGTTGGTGTTACCTTTGAATTTGGAAAACAGTTGCATTTATCTTCCTTCATAGGAGGCGATGGGCAGTCATCCTTCTTACAAGAAACTACTGCTTCCTTCTTGCTAGATGCTTCTTTCTTCGGGATACCTAACAGTTAAATTACTTTTGTTACGAAAGTGCATTTTGTTCACAGATAGTGTCAGATAGTTTCATATACTTAGAGCTGAAGCGAACATCCAATAATTTTTTCCTCTATCCCGAGAAAGTCCATTTGGGTTTATCCTATGGGAACTAAAAGGTTTGGCCCCATGAACTATTACGTTAGTCGGAGAAGAACATCCAAAAAGTGACAGACATTATATTGTCTCGACTTACCTTCTCAGAAAAAAAATCGCTATTTCCTCATATTTATAAGTGCTAAAAGCTAAAAAACACACATTTAGATGATACTACTTGTTTAAAAATAGCTTCTTAACGTTTCTGTTTTAAATATTTGTAAGTATTTCTTTCATAAACGTCTCCTTTTTATGTATATATATATATATATATATATACTTGAACTCGAGCTTTCGATGGTTTATGCCATCAACGTCTGGAGCTAGAAAACAATTTTTTGAAAAAATAGCAACAATAATTAGGGGGAAAATAATTACTGAGTCGGCAAGATTATTGCTGAAATTGTTCTTAAACGACAGTGAAAGGGAACACATAGTCGACGAACAAAAAACTGGACCAAAAAAATTGTTTTTCAGCTCCAGACGATGATGGCATAAGGCATATACCATCGAAAACTCGAGTTCAAGTTGTAAGAGTATACTTATGCAAAACTTTACCTTCAACCCAAAGAAATTTAAGGCAAAATTAACTATGAATACTATATATATATAAATTCTTGGTGGTGGTCATATGTACTTCTAAAGAGAACTATCTAGAATGCTCTTACCATTGCAGGCTGTATCTTTTTTCTTGGAATCAGTTTGCTTATAAAGCTCCTCTTCCCTCTTTTCAGAATTCTTCTTACTGAGGTCTTTGCAAAGGTTCTCTATTTCGTTCTTGGAAGGAAGTTCATTCTTTCTTGCATCTTCCTTCTTGCAGGAATCTTCCTTCTTTTTATAAGAATCTTCCGTCTTACACTCCTTGGGTTTCTCAGCTTTCTTAGGGAGCTCTTCCTTTTTTTTGCTGGGTACTTCTTTTTTCGTACTAGGTTCATCTTTATTTCCTCCACTTCCACCCGATTTGCTGCTCTTACTGCCCGCCTTCTTTTTCTTCTTCTTTCCTTTTTTCTTGGACATCGACAAGATTACGAATTCATCGTTCCATGGTTCCTTGATTTGTTCTTTTCTAGCAGATGGTGCTTTCATCTCATTTTCTGTGACCGGATCCATTTTGCTGTAAGTTGCCTTAGGATCTGCAATCTCGATTTTCTCGAGAGGATCTTTAATCTCCCTTTTCACGATTGGAGGCCTACGATCTTTGCGATCAGACAGGTGGTCACCAAGGTATATCTTCAATGTGTTCTCTAGTTGTTCAACAGCTAGAAAAAAACTGTTTTACGACAACAGAAAAAGAATGAAGGCAAGTGCAGATTATGGTCGCCAATTTTAATTGGCATATTTTGCTTGTTACCATGGACTCTATAAAGAAAAATCAAGCAAGAGAAGTTTAATTTCAGATTATGGTCACCAATTGTAATTTACATATTTTATTTGTGGCCATGGACTCTATAAAGAAAAATCTTGATATAGTTATCATATTGTAATATCAATTAAAGCTAACCTTTGTGAACTTCCATGTACTTCAAATACTCCTTTTCGAGCAAAGGTTTCAACATGGTACCTATAGTGTTCGCTAAAGCAGATTTAGAATCTTTGTTTGTCTTTGACGCTTTTACAACTTCAGATATCATTCGCGGGTCTATATCTCCTTTACTTCCTTCAACAATTTCTTTCCTGCAGAACAAATCGTCCAGAGACTTGCTTCTCATCGCATGGCTGTGTCTGTCTACATATTTGAAGGTTACTAATTTCTGGGAATGCTTCCCTGTTAGAATAACGTTACTGGTGTTGACATCGTATTTTAGAGAAACTGCCTTCTTGTCACCTGAATAATTATTGTTCTTTTGAAGCAATTTTGTCAAACGGGTACCGTGCTCTTTCTTGATCAACGAGTTCTGTGTGAGCATTAGCTCTTTATAGTTCATACGCTTTATTGGCGTAACTTCTATTGATGTATCTCGCTCTTGAGAATCCTTCAGGAGTTCATAAGAGTTCTTTTTGAATTTGTTCTTTTTTACCTCAAACTTGGAATCAACTTCTTTGGTAGAGTACTCTCGCATCTGCACTGAAGGTTCACCTATGCAAGAAAACAAATAGCTATTGAGGAATCTCTTCAAATGTTATATGCTGGAACTAATAAAGAGATCGTCATACATGATGTCCCAAAATAAGACCGCAATATCTCGGATGCATATTGAATACACAAATTACAGAAATTCATATTCCTAGGGGGTTCCTCTACGGAGATACAGATAATGGATGGATTGAACAAAATTTGTTCGATGCCAATTGGGGCCTCTTCACATGGTAGTATCCTTAGAAAATAATTAACTCAATCTGATCTTTAGGGATGGATAAGCTGCAACAGGGTATTGCTAGTTTTTACACCGTGTATAATAATAGCCCTACGATGCAGTTTTTGCAAAGCCTGATCATTGTGAATTCACGTTTGACATCGATAGAACGAGTCACTTTTTGTAACAACATTTTTGTTTCAGTAAAGTTCTGTCTGTAGTGATTGATCCAGTATATAAGCTCAAGCATTCCATAATATAGTAATTCTCATAATAGGTTTGTAATTAATAACTCGTACAAACTTTGATAATATATGTTTTAGACTCCTGTCAAAATTTCTGGGGATCCAGTTGCATAGAAAAACCCCATAGAGGAACTTGGCATTATGTTTTGTGTTTTGCATGCTTCCAAGAGATTCTCATCTGTATTCTGGAAGTGTGGCAGATCCTGTATATGAAAAATAGTTTATTTCGCGCCTGCTACAAGTGAGCATGAAGTGAACGACAGCTAGTTCCAAGTTGACGTCTTGTTGGAAAACCTACATAATATCATAAAAAGCCGACATAATGCCAAAGAAGAATGCCGACATGATGTTACTTTTCAAGTTAGGTAATACCCCTGCCGTAAGGCAGCTGCTCCCTTGCTTTGAACAAATGAAATGAGTAATAGAGCACCGCCGCCAGTGGACCAGTTTTCAAAAACTACAAAGCTTTTGTGTCCTTGGCATAGTATGACATTGTGTTATAGGCGGTTATAAGAATAGCGAACAGACCGACACACCGACAGACATGGTTTTTCATGATGTACATGTCATATTTATAACATCCAAAAAACATGGTATCTCATTTTCTAAAATTTGTGCGATTACAATACTTCCCCGCCAGTTATCAGTGCGATAAGACCTATGTCTTTGAGTTTACACAAACAAACGTCCGCACTCTGTGCACAGAAGCTGATTGCATATATGTATGTGTGATACAGATGAATATGTGAAAGTAATTCCTGTATTTCTACTGTACTCGCCGAAAATCGTGAAATGAAATATAGATACAGGGTTACACTCTTTGTAGTACAAGGAAACTAAAACATGACCTAGCATGATTTTAAAAAAAAAGTGTTTCCTCAATTAAACTTTTAAACTATTTTGTATCAACTCACTTGTCATTACTTTTGATGTAATATTTGACTGATCTAATGGAAGACGTTTTTCACGTTCTTGATTGGCCATCGAGCTTTGTGTTAATGTATATTCCCTTGGCCTTATCGTGGTAACAGTCATTGTATCTTGCTTTTCTTGTGGTGCTAAATATTCAGCAGATTCGTAAGAGTTCTTCTTGAACTTTTCCTTTTTCGTCTCGAACTTGGAACCAAATACAGTTCTAGTGGCTGATGAGTAAGCTCGCTTCTGCATTGAAGGCCCACCTATGTATGACAAATTTGGAGATATTAATCTTCATTCAGAACTCCGTGGGCTATTATATTAACCAAAGCACAATGAAGGTTTTATCTAAATTGATCCTAATGTTCAATCTAACTAGCCATTTGATAACGTTTTTAAAAGTTTGCACCCAGTTCCACCGCCTTTCTCTGATCTATTACCTAGCAAATGTGATCCCAGGGAACCCTCAAATAGAGTGTTTATTGTACTACTCTGATTTAGTAAGGTAAAGTTACATAGAAGGAGGGATATGTTTTTCGCGTGTGGATAAGTATGTATCCATATCTCCAAAAAATTATATTTCTCGGGCTACAGGCTAAACGGCTTGATGGATTTTGACATGTGAGGTGTCGTTTGAGATTCTTTAGCAATGCGAGTGATACTTTAACAAAGCTTTACCTTGAAATTCTTATTTCATGGGCCGCAGGTTAAATGGTTGGATGAATTTTAATATACTAGAGGTGTTGTTGGATTCGTCTTAGCAATACGAGTAATACTGATTATATTAAAATTTTATAAAAACAAAATGGCGGATTTTAATGACAATCAACCTTAAAGTTCATATTTCATAGGCTACAGCTTAAACGGCTTGGTGGATTTTAACATACGAGGTGACGTTGGATTCGTCTTAGTAAAGTAATAATAACTGATGTTATTAAAAAGGTCCAATCTGGTTACAGCTTGAATGGGTTAATTGATTTTGACATAAGGGGTGTCTCTAAATTCGCCAGCACAATTAAATCTTCATTCTTTTACAGTTCACATACGTAAAAATGAATTTTTGTCTGCACATTCACCAAATTTGTAAACACAAAATAATTATCACGTTTGTTTCAATGGCAAATGTGTTTAAAATATGTGTGACTTTCATATTTAACAGTCTCTTAATATTAGCGGATCAGACATTTTTTACTAATAGAAAGTATTTCATCCATGCCAAAGGTGCAAGATTTACAACCCCCAACCCCAGACTTTGAAATCTCCTAAAAAATGAGCAGTAGTCTCTGAAATGAAACATGGGGAATTTTGATGAATTTTATGTTTTTCGTTTTTTGCTCATTGAAGTGCCGTCACAGAATCAATTATTAAATCCTTCAAAGTGTTTTCGTCCTTGGCATGAAGTCGAGAAGTTATAGAGGGTCTAATGATTATCGGGCAGACCTACAGACAAACAGACCGACGGAAATGAATAAAATGTTTTTTCATGATATAACATTCAGAAAACAATTGACCTCATTTTCGAAGCTTTTCGTGATTAAATTTTGAAAGTAATGAACTCAAACTTCTCAATAAATCCGCCGGTTAACGTACCCTGACCTGCATTTGGTTTCCCTTTGCCCTCCATACAGAACCTGCAATCCAGCTGTTTGAATATGAAATTACTTATCTTGTTGATGCCATGCATTCTGATCAAATTTTTCTTCTTTTTGATTTCAGTTACATTATTTGTGAGTTTGATGGTGGATGACACAGTTTCAACATTACTTTCTGATCTCCCTCTTTTTACTTTTGGTTTACGCTCCTCGTTGATACAGTCGCGCTCCTCAACAGTGTCCTTGGCGGTTCTTGGTTCTTTTAGTTGCCTCTTTTTCTTTTTGCGACTGAGGTCAAAAAAGCTGCAACAACAAAGAGTTGAGTCGATAAATGAAATCGGATAAACTGCTGAACAAACTTATCATAGTGTTAACGATTAAGAGTCCCATCATCCCAACAGTAACCATAGCATACAATATGCACCAACAAAAACGGACCAAATGGTGCTCGTGAACCATCCCAAGTACTCGTGTACGATAGAAACTAAAGATTTATTGGTATTTTTGGTAAATATTTGAAAAGAGAGCATTGACTTCCAGGCCTGCAGTAACATTAAAATGCTGCTTAACTTTCATACAGTTAACATTTTCACACTTGTATAATTGTTCTCATCTCTAAACTCCAAACAGACAGAATCATCATCATCATCATCATGAATTTATAAACTTTTGGGGCAAATATTTAAAATTTTTGTTACTAACGTCTTAGTTGTCTTTCAAATTCCTTATGATCAGTTTATCCACCACTGCTTCTAGAAAGACCTTAAGGCAAAACGAGCTATTGCAGTTTTTTGCTATCATAGTTAATACTACCGTACCTGTGATACTTTAGGTGTGTCTTATAAGTGATTATAGGTGGACTAGTTACTCCTGGGTGTCTTCTGCAGAAACCTCTTGTTTGGCGTAGGTTGTCTAAATACTTAGAGCATATTGGCTTGAAATGATTCTTATGTATGCTTTGCAATGCAGCAACATTTAACTGATTAGATTTCGTTTCGGCGTGCTTGAATCTGACCATGTGGTGAAGTGTGCATACTGAAGGTAGGGTATTCTTGGCAATGTGCAACTGAAATAAGACGTGTGTCACTTTAAATGGTTTTTGAGTGGATCGGAAGGTACTTACTGGTAATCTTAATTGATTTACATTTCTTATTATGGAATACATTACAGAAATTTGGTCATATGAAACGAAATTTGTACGACATTTGACTGACAATTTTGACGAAATGTAAACGATTCACATCATTCTAGATTTTCATTTGATGAATTTTTCCATGACCCCGGAAAACATTGGAGACGTTTATGTCAAGTTAGACGTCATAATTGCTGGTCAACCGAAATCAAAATTTCCAGTGATGTTCAATTTAACTCAATTTGGCTATCAAAACGTAAGTAGCAATAATCAGTGTTTTTTTAAGAAAACGACTTGTGTGTTGTTTAGAACTTTATATGAAAAATAATTCCATATGTGGGTTAGTAAACAAGATATAATACGTTTTTAGCTTTTTCGCCAAGGCAATTGTTTGGAGACAGCAATATTAGGTCAGGCTACAGCAAAATGGCAAAAGAAAATTTGTTGAATATTTCGGTCTTCTACATTTCACATGTTGGAAGTATTGAGATTGCTTCATTAGTTAGGATCATATGGAGAATGAACGACGAAGAATGTAACACATGTCATTGTTACCCATTTGTCACTAAGCTACTCACGATGTCCCTCAAATATCTGCAGAAATGGTTTCCTGTAAATGCTTTTGTCGGAAAATAAGCTTTACCTTCACCAAAAACGGTTTTGACTACAGCCTTGAGGGTAAATGAAGAGGCTCCTTGTTTAGACAGACAGAAAAAATTGATTTGGTAACTTTTTTATTGAGCATCAACGTTGGAAAAATCTGTTTCTTATATATAGTTGAAAGGCTCGATATAAGTAGTCCACAGAAGAGTTCCACCAGTAAAAATACTTTTAATATGAGGCGAAATGTTCAATATAGTGGTTAATTTGTTACTGCAGCAAGCGATGCATAACAATACATCTTAAATAATAGCCGAAAGTTCAGCAAAAATTGATATTTTTTTTTATGGAAATGGAAAGTTATTGTCAACGTTTTTAAGGTTAATGGCATTTTCAACGAGCCGTCCGGGGAGATAGCACTGATATCAATTACATCATAGTTTTTAAACGCACGCAAAAGAAGCGGTTTTTCTAACTTTGATGTTCAATAGATAATATACCCAGCGATTTTTTGTATCTTTAGATGAGAGGCCTCTTGTCTTCATTTACTTCAAAAAATATTTTCCGGTTACTGAATCCGTTAAGATTTTTTTTCTATACAAATTTAATCCATTTTTGACTGGTTAGCCTGATCCAGATAAGCCTTCCATACATTTGTGAGTCGAGAGGGTTGTCAAGTTCCAAATTGAATATTTTTAACTTCCTTTTTCGTAGCTACGCCATTTGGTAAGACCATCATCACCTATAAGAGATTCTGTATGCATGGTGTCTTGCTACAATCCATTTATCGTAAGCCGTAAGCCAAGTCTTACCTATCCGATCCCGTACAAAAACAGTTTCGTGAACAGAGCGAGAAATGCTCATACTTACGCTACGCATCCAGAAAAGGTCAGACAACTCATAAAAAGTAAGGATGCTCATGTGCTTTGCAGCTACTTCACCTCCAAAAGGTATGTCGACAGGGTCGAACAGCTTATAGAGCAGCAGAAGATATTGTTAGACGACTCACAAAAAGGTATATGTGGAAGATTTATTGAAGAGTGTGTTATACTGATATAATGTCAAATTTGCTTAGAAACTTGAAACGCCTTTCTGCATGATTTTGTAGATGTTTTAACTCAGTTCCAGCGCTTTGAAGTTTTCCAGCTGTTTTTCTTGGTATCACGTATTTCATTTTCCACTGGCGCTTTATTTGAAATTCTAGCTGCCTGTATTTTGCAACTTTTTCAATATTTTCTTTATTGGTTTGTTACTGATAGGTATGGCCTCAACAATCAGTGTTTTGAATATTGGTCCGTAAGCACAGTGCGATCCCAGTATATATTATTATGATTATTATTGTTATTAATAACAATAATGATTATTTATTGTTCCAGAGCTGTGACTTGAAAACATTATTGAATGCACCAAAATCTTTCTGTAGCAACATATACTATAGCTATAAGCTACTATACTATTCTGAATATCTCAAAAGGAGCTGTCTCGTGAGGCAACACTGTAGGGTAAACGCTGCATTAATTGTCAAAGTCGATCGAAGGGATGTCAGTGGGGGTACAGAATACTCTATTAGGGCAAACCATCATCAACTCAGGAAAAGGTTTTAACAGCGAGAACTAGGGTATTTCAGACCTAAGGGATCAAACTTCTAGGGGTTATTCAGTGTAACAGTAGAAAACATTTGAGTATAGGGACCCATATCCGGAAAAGTGTCACTACGGCCCTAAGACGCGTTAAAATTTAGAAAAACGATGAATTTCCTAAATAGGACTTAATGCATTTAATTTTTGCATTTTGTCTTCCTCCAACCTGAATACACCGATTTAAACGTCGCACATGATTTTGGCGGACTTGACTAAACATTTAATACTCGTTTTGAATGATTTCAAATGCTGCTGTAATTCGTCCAATTAAGTCTTGCTCTCTTTCTACTGGAGTTTCGTAAACCAAAGACTTTACATGTCCCCACAGGAAAAAATCTAGCGACGTTAAATCAAGTGACCTAGGAGGCCAAGAAACTGCTCCACCTCTGGCAATCCTACGGTGCCCAAACCGCTGAGCCAAATACTCACTTACTTGTACAGCAAAGTGAGCCGGCGCTCCATCGTGCTGGAACCACATTTGCTGTCGAACGTTCAATGGCAGATTTTCAAGAAGTTCTGGAAGAACTTCCTTCAAGAAATGCCGGTAAATAGGTCCTGTTAACCGTTCCGGTAGAAGGTATGGCCCAATCAAATAATCATCAACAATGCCTGCCCATACGTTGACAGACCAACGTTGCTGATGTTTTCTAGGAAAAAATTGGATTTGTCCCAAACGTGGCTATTCCTACTATTAAAAATGCTTCATCGGTCCATAAAACATAGCGTAATTTGGTTGTGCAGCGATTTGATGAAGAAGCCATTGACAAAATTGAACTCTAGGATGATAATCGGCTGCAGTCAATCCTTGAACTTTCTGGAAGTGATAAGGATAAGGTTGTTGCTCGTGTAGCACGCGCCAGACGGAAGCGTTACTCGTATTCATATCTTCGGCAGTGTGACCTGTGTTACTTGATGGTTCGTCGGAAACTCGCTGAAGGAGCTCTACTTCAAATTCGACCGTTCTTACGGTTCAAGCAACACCAGTATCATGTATGTTGGTTTTAAACATGCCTGTCTCGGAGAGCCGCCAATGCATAGCAATAAACTTTTTGTATAACGGATGGTGTCGTTCGGGATAACGTTCTTGATACAACCGTGCTGCTGCTTGTGCATTGCAGCTTGTTGCTCCATATGCCAAATGCATATCCGCCAATTCTTGATTGGTAAAGGTTCCTATTAGAAACAATTAATTTTTGTTAAATTCTTACAAACTTCACAAATCCGATAGCACGACTAAGACGATATGGAATGCAGCTAAAAAAAACAATCTCTGTTATCGTTTTTAAAGATACCAACACACAAGCGCCGGATATGGGTCCCTATACTCAAATGTTTTCTACTGTTACATTGAATAACCCCTACAAGTTTGATCCCATAGTTCTGAAACACCCTGTATACTGCCGCATCTATCGGTTTCTGATACACCCCTCACCGTTAACTTCCTTGCATTCTTTTGCTGGGCAGATAAGAAATTTCGTAAGTTCCGTCGGTTAGAATAATTATTGCAGTTTTTAATTTTAGGAGCAAAAGTTACATATGAGCACGTCATTGATTGCGCCCAACCTGAACGATCTAAAATAAAAAGGGAGATGGAAAGTAAATCAGACGAGGGAGAACAGGAAATAGATGATGAAATGTCACCAGCAATGTTTACAAATTCTGCTGGAAGAAAAAAGCCAGTCAAGACGACCGTTTTGTCACTAATGTTGAAAAAGAAGCAAGAGGATACCAAAAAGTCGCCGATTTTGAATCAGGCAGGCGCGATAGAAGGTAGATGTAAAAGTCGCATGGTTACTGACCATCAATAGAAGTGTCTAGCATGAATGTTTGCCTTTCCTATTCATGTTTCGAAAAATTGACCATCCATACCTGCGTTTAAGATGGCCATACATGCTAATATATTCGCAAATTTGCCTAATGTCGACGATGGCATACCTTTCTAAGGCCGCAGTCAGATCAAAACATCTTGTCTCGAAACAAAATATTTCGATCTGCCTTAGCTATTTGCACCCCCGCATATAGGTCGAAACGTCTCATGAACTAGTCAGTCCTTTGTGATATGTCCCCATATGTTTTCCTTTGGATTTTCAAGTAGGAGTCATCTTGTCACTTGCATCCTCATCATAGAAGATATACTTTTCAGTTTATTCTATCTCTCCACATTCTACATGGATCGGCAGAGAATCATTGTATTTAATGTGTACCTACAAGCGAAGTAGGGAGAGAAACATGTATGGTAGACCCAGAGCGCCAATGGAGCCCCAACAGTATGTCCTAGTTCTCCATTGTCTCTATATTTCGCTCATACATATTAAATACGTGACCTCAATGATTTTCTGCCGATCCTGTGTGCTGCGTAGGAGCCTGAAAGATCTCTAAATATTCCCTTGAGTTACTGAAAAACAATACGTCCTTTAACATATACAACAAATCACGTTCAGGTTGAAAATAAATAGGTCAAATATTCATATAAATTTAATTAACTACGAGTAGGTCCAGTGTTAAGACACAGAACCACCATCTTGCCACTAATTCTTAAAAACACGAAGCGTATTAAACAAAGGGAAAAAAAGTTCGCCGAAACAGACAGCATTGAAATGAAGAGCGTTAGGAGTACTGAAGAGGAGAACGTTAAAGAAAGCAGAAGATTCCAAAAAGTAGCAGAAGCATATCCTACGCACTCGGTAAAACAAGCCAGACCATTGGAGCGCCCAGAAAAACCGTCTTCGAGAGGTGGGTTTCCTAGGTGAATTATAAGTATTATTTGATAAACAATGTCCTCACCACTAATTATCAGTCCATCTTGGGTTACTTGTAATGAACATGTTCGATTGCTACGGCTAAAAGCTTTCACACACTTTGTAGTTCAAGAGCCTCATCCATACTGGGATGAAAATTTCGAGCCATCTTTTTCTAATGGAATCTGGGCCTGTATGGTCCTTAGAAACATTCCAAAATACCACCAGATTTATAGTTTAACAATAAGATTAAGCAGAATTCCCTTCAAATCGAATCAACAGGTTGAATGAGATGGCGTTCGATTAATTCCTCTATCGTAATTCGCCGACGAATAAACCAGACCATCGCTAACTAAGTTTAATTCAGCTTCTTGCTAGGCGCAGTACTGTCTCGAAGCATGACCACTCTCTCCGTCCCTATGTCAAGACTCAAAAGCACCAAGACCAAAAACACAATGAATCGAGTCACTAAAAACATACCCTCGTCAATTGATCTGTATCAATCTGTACGACCGAAGCCGTTGCACACTCAAGCAGAAGATGGCGCCAGTCAGAAATCGTTATGGAGCATATTGAGTTGGCCACCGTTTGGATCTAAGCAGGCAAACAAACCTACTCCATTGCTCTCTGTTAACAGGTATCCGCATATTTTCGTAGCTAAATCACACTGAAATCCTCTGTCGAATATGTGATTACCGATTGTCCCAGAAATTCGCCTCACCTCGCGCATTGATGCGATCTTGAACGAAAAACGAAATATATCAACATAGAGTAAAACTGCTGCTGCCTCGTTGATGACACTGGAATCTTCAATCCGAGGTGGAATACGTTAATCAATACTTAAAGATACCCAATTAAAATAGGCATTTGACAATATATTGAAAATCCTTGTATCATCAACCAGAACCAAACATCCTCACTCTTTTCAAAGTATATCTCTATATTCATTTATGTGTTCTGCTACTGCCCCATAGATGGCGCTGGGTGTATTTCAAAGCCCTTTTTGGTCGCCGGAATATAGTTGGCTACCTTCAGATAAAATCAATGGTGAAACATAACATACACGTTCACGTGATCGCTCAGAAACAAGCGGAGAAACCAGCACTGGCTGGGAGATTCGACACATCGCATGGCCGACCATGATCAGCACCAATAATACACAGTTGCAATCAGACACTTGCGTGTCATCGAGCCATATTGCAAAAATCCGAAATAAATACTTTTATATCCCATAATATCCATATCTTTCTTGTGAATCTGACTTACTGACAGTTTTTTACTGAATAATAGAATCTGCCATAGAAAAGACGCATCAATCAATCATCGCAGAACGGTTCTAAATGGAACTCTTCCTAATTTCTCAGATTCCGAGTATAAGTGCATGTGTTTGCATTTACGCCATTTTTGTCTATCATGTCTGTTCATGAGGTTAAGTCAAATTATGACGTCTGTCTTAGCTCTCGTCAGAAAAACTGCAGCGGACAGTCCATGAATATCGTTTGATTGTGTGTAAAAAATCTAGCAAAAGAGACTCACTTCTTTTCTATTCGTCATAATGGCACGCAGCTTAAACATGACCTGGCTATGACATGCTACGGGCGTCGTTTAATTTTTTTTAAATATTTTAATTTATACATTAATCCCTTAGGGTATTGAACAAAACAGACGCAGCTGTAGAAGAAGATGAGCAAAGTCAGAAAAAAATTTCATTAAAAAATGCGAAACAGAAGGGAACCGCGAGCAATGTAATGGCAAATGGTACTGTGCTGTCAAAAAAAAGTAAGCGAAAAAGCAGAGTAAAAGTGAAAAAGCTGCGGCCACCTGAAGGGGTGGCGACGACACCTCCTAGATGCTATCTATTTGAATCTGAAATAGACAACATTAACAAGTTGTATGATAAAGTCAGATCAGGTACAGTATCGCATTCAGCATACTACTTGTTTAGACAAAGCTAGTTACTCGCGTATTCATTTAAACAAGTTGCCGGTACGTGTTCTGCACACAAGTTGCACATCATATGCCTGGAGCTTGTTTAAATAGAAACTCCGATATCTATAACATAAAAGTGTCGGACTCCTAACTCATGCGCTTGAAATGTTAGGCGGCCCAATCACCTGTCGCAGTTTATCCCGGGAGCTTAGTGGAACAAAACGCGAATCTAGCTGCGAGCTAGCAAAAGTCGAAAAACGATTTTTTTTATGTAGAAGCATGTTCCCCTTACAGAAGTAATCCAAGGAAGATCAAAACAACGCGTTTTGACTCGATAAGCGCCCTTTGCACGTGTCAGTAAACAAAGATCACTTTAAAACCAATTTTGATAAAAGCACGAGTCATTCAATTATTGTAGATACTAGTGAAAAGGAGCTCTGAAATCTTTTACCTCGGTTCATTTCTTGTTTTGCTAAACAAATGTAAATGTTAGAGGGAGATATGTACAAAGTTTTTTGAATTCTCCATTTCGCCTATTTGTATAGAGTTGTCTTACCATTCATTCATGAACTGCCATTTCTACGAAAGCTATTAGAGGCTGTAAATTGAAATAGTTTTGCATTCGCATGACCTTTTCAAAGATTTTTTTAAGCTAAGTTCCCAAAGTTTGCCAAGGCTTGACAGAATTATAAAAAACCGAAGAAGTTTCAATATTCCCGTCTTCGTTAGAAGGAACAATTCGTCTTTACTCCTTCCTCGAGAGTCAAAACAGTGTTTTGGAAAAATTTGCTGATTTTATTGAAGTGCTAAGGAAAAAGTGGTCCCAATTTAACAGCACTCTAGAGTCGATTTGGGTCTGTCCACGAAACGCCGTTCAATGATGAAACAACCCATGAAGTCTACTGTCCTGGGACCCAACCAAAAACTTTTTGTATGCAGGACCTCTGGCGAAGAAGCGAAGACCGCAGTCCCTCCTGAAAGATCGGTCCCTTGAGGAACTCATGTTCGCTGCAGTCAACAAACTTAGTAAAAATTGTAGAAGAGACGCAGCCTCGATTCTAAAATCTCTTTTGGACTCTCCGTGTCGAGCTACACAAATCAAGAGAGCAAATTGTGTACCTACCATGATATGCCAATCTAATGGACATTTTCAGGAAAATACATACTTTGCCGTTCACACCATAGATACTCCACTGTTAAAGAGGCAGTTCTGATTAATCTACAAGATGTTAACTCAGCACTAGCTGATGGACACTTGTGAACTCGTCATGACGCTTCAGTTAATCCTCTCAATCCTCGTTGGAATGGTCTCCAATCACAACTTAGGTTATTATTTTTGAAAAATGTACATGTCCAGACTTTTGATATGCTAGATTCACGTTTCGTACCACTGTGAGGCGTTTGTATCGCAACATGTTCCATTTGTTTGTATGTAAAACTTGTTGGGGCGTTGCATAAGAATTACATAGTTATTTCATTTTGCTTATAAAATCTATGATATGGAAATCTTAACAAGTTGATGCCTAATTAAAAAACATTTACCGTCAAAATTAAACATGTTTTAGGCCGTTTTCATTTTGCGCATACTTACGCGGCACTTATTGAGCGGTAAATTTGATGTTACAGAAACGTACCTAACATGCAAGATTTACCAATAAATATTACATAATGTTCATATAAACACGGGTCCTGAAATGCCTCCTTACTGATTTATACGGTGTGGAAGTTGAATTAATTCTTGGCCCCCATATAACTTGGAAAGGAGTGCTCGGATTTGAATATAAGAAAAAGCTTTGGAGTTTTATAAAATCGGTTCAGTGGCAGTGGAGAAAAAGGCCAAAAACTAAACAAATATCGCTCAAACTTTGTCTCTTAACCTTTCAGAGGATCTTGGTCATTTAAAAATATAGAAGCAAAAAATTGAGGGTAGCGGGCTATAGGATGGAAGAGAAGCGTATCGCAATTTATGGGTGGCAGTATATTCTTATGACCCTAGTAATTCTAAGCGCCTATTAGGCTTATTCCACATATAGGTTTCCCCGTACATTTGTTTTTAGAACTTAGAATTTTTCCGATATGCGTCTCCTTCTCTGGGCTTAGCGCCCGGCGTAACGGTCAGCTTGGTTGTTCTGCTTATACTGCGGCAGTGCCACGACAACGCGACATACGATATGGGAAGTCAGATGTATGCTAACAACCGGTATGACGGGAAAAATGGTATTCACTAATTGTATGGGCCTGTATTGTACAAGTTCGTAACTATTATTCTCAGAGGGTTTAACTTGTGCTGAACTTAATCATTATGAACTGATAACAGCGTTAGGTGAAAATTTCATAGCCACCCGCCATTTTCAATGAGGTATTTAATTTTACATAAATTGTCTTCCCCAAGAAATATTTTTATCAGACCATTCTATTGGAGAAATTCCGATTAGGATCGTTGAGATGAAATCCGCAGAAAAACCTTAGAATTTATTCTGCTTTATAAATATGTTGAAGTTATCGAAGCTCGACATTGAATGTATGTTCATATATATTGTCTATATGACATCTTAAAATATCCTCTATATTGCCATTGCTTTTTGAATTTTGGACAATAAATAATTTAATTATTAACGGTGAACTTTTTTTCTAGCAAGTGCATCAAGACCTCCACAGCCAGTTGAGGAAAGAAAGTACTCTACAAAATCTCAGCTGAGCATCAACCAATTGATTTCTAAAGACCATCATAGCCCAACCTACAAATTAGTAACCGATCTCGAAAAACGAAGGGTCAAATACATTCTTAACCGCTTCAAATTTGACCCGAAAAAGCTGAAACAAACCCCCATCAAATATACAATCAACAATCCTTACGGAGGTATTGAAAAAGTACTTCCCGAGCCAGACAGTTATTCGTTGTTTGTTGGAAAGGCGAGATATAAACTCGCTTACGTTTAACGTACTATGTAACCTATTAAAACGTTGTATTTGATCAATGAATTAATATGCAATGAAGCTTAATTTTTGTGATGCATCTTAACATGGTAGATTTTTCGTTGTACAATGTGAAATAAATTATAGTTTTTGGAGTAATACTTTATTTTGAATATACGTAGAAATGAACATTTGTTCAACTAAACTCAAATCACACAATTTCGGTAGCAAAGATACCGTTCCCATAAGGCTGTTTTGAGATTTGAAGGTTGTCAATAGACTACAATACCCACATACTAGTCATAAAGGCCAGTTTCATTCAGCAAAGGTAAACGCTATAAAATTGTCCATAATGACAAATGTAAAGCTAATTAAAATCATAGACACGGATTGTAGAAATGAAGAAATGCTGTTTTTTTGTCAGAGTGCTAAGTTCGACTAATGGTAGCGTCGGGTTAGATGTCCCTGAAAGTGCAGATTTTTTCGTCAATACGGGGATTACTCGGATGACTTAATAGATAACCAAAAGTGGAGCAATCTCGTCGAATTTCAGTTCACCATTTAAGGACACTAGAATTATATTATGGTACTTGGTAGAAAGTAAGGTCTCAGTTAAATGGGGCAACGACCGAGACCAAGCCTGAAACCGAACCGCGAGACTTGTGGCACAGTAGATACTGATACAGAAAATCTTTCACTGTGATTTTAAAGATGTATCGAAAAGAAATAAAATGTTCAACATACCTGCGTATTTGAATATTTCAGTGGAATTGTGATAGAGATGTTCTGTATGAATGCTATGTGTCATTACTCCTGTGGATAGATTTCAGGGTTGTACCAGATGTACCAGAATCGTCACCCGCGTTCATCGTCCCGAAAATGCTAAACGACTTCAAAAGGCAGCAGGTACCACCAGGCGGATCTCTAAGGCGGTGCCAGAATGTGTGCATGTTGCATGCACATGTGTTCCCTCGCCCCGTCCATAACTGTTGTAACACACCGGTTGACTATTAACTTCGACTACTTATGTCATATATATATATATATATATATATATATGTGTGTATATATATATATATATGCTATACCTAGGGCCGAAATGCGAGAAATAGTATTTCGTACGGTTGTAATATCGGGGCGCTATACGTCTTTTTTCTAAGCGGGAATGTCTACCACAAGCTGTCCTGGACTTTGCTGGTTTTGGCCAATGTCATCTTAAAATTGTCTCTCTTGCAAAACTAACATAACTGAAATATGTTGTCGTTGTCATGTTGATCTGTAGGTACTTCAAAAAAGGCAGAAACGTCCATAAAGGGTAATTCCCACATATTTTATGTATGTGGTTCCATTTGCCCATGAACTTTACCTATGACTACGTGTATAGCGATTTTTCTGGTTGAAAACGTATTTAAAGATCGAATAAATTTACTGACAGTTTGAGTAATACAATTTAAGAAGCAAAATCAAGAGGGTCTTAAGAAGCATAGGAGGAAAATTCAAGGTGCGATACTGAAGTTAGATTTTAATCTTGACATCGAGCTGATGGTAAACATATTAAACAGCTTCTGAAAATCAAGAAGCTTCGCTTGTCTATTAATACAAAAATAATTCACTGAATTTTTGTTCTCCCTGATTTTTTAAAACAGGGTCCAGCGAATCATAACCACGTTTTAGCCCCATGTTTTGGAAATACCCCATTATTACTGCAAACAACTTCCCTGCTCGTCTACTAGGTCTTTTCACGGTTTCTGGCGAGGCACAGCAAAACTACAGGAATTACCTTCATAAAAATGCATCCATCTCCCTCACACATACATACGCACATATGTCTTTGTTTGCTTAAGATTTATTTAGCATGATTGCTACAATTACATTCTTCTAAAAAACTAAACAATTACATAGCATACAGGCATTCAAAAAAAAACAAAATTTGCATCGCTAAGAATTTTCATTTTCCATGAAATATTCCTTTAATTTTCGTTTAAATATCTTTAAATTGCAAGTAGACTTTATTTCATTATTTCGTTTATTAAATTCAAGTAATCCTTTCTGAAATATTGATTTGCTAGTTATGAAAATCTATATTTCCTCTTGTATAATAATTGTGGTAATGATTATTCAATCCTATGTAGTGTTCTAAATGTTCTGGCAAAATATGATTTTTTATTTTAAATATAAAAATAAGAACCAAATATGATATGAAATGTTTTATATTCAACCGCTGCAATTCTTGTAACATTTTGGTGTACTTATTTTTATTCGATATTATTCTCATAGCTTTATTTTGCAAGACTTGTACTTTTGAGAATACAGCTTCATTGGCAGTGAACAAGATAGTTGAACAATGTAGTAAATGCGGTAGAATAATTGTATTATAAACTATTTTCTTGGAATAGGTACCAAGGCTATGAGAAGCCCTATAAAAGTAATTAGGTTTTTTTTTGGCAATTGATGAAATAATGTATTCATAATGATCCTCAAACTTTAGTTTACTATCAATATATACACCTAAATATTTAATTGATTCAACATTTTCAACTAGGTATATGTCCATTTATCCTAACTGTGATATTATTTTCATTTAGGCATTTCCCTATTAGCATACATTTTGTTTTAGAAGTATTCAATTTTAGTTTACATTTAACCAATTTACGATTTTTGCCAAGTCAGAACTTAGCATTTTTAAAGCAGTGTCTATATTTTCATCTGATATGTATATTAATGTATCATCTGCAAATATCTGAAGTTTACAATAATCTAAAATATTACAAATGTTATTAGTATATGAAATAAATAGTAGTGGACCTAGTTTACTACCTTGTGGTTACCAACAGAAATATTTTTTGATCTTGATAATGTAGATCCAACTTTCGTTTTTTGACGTCTGCCAATTAAATAGTTTTGTAGCATTTTGAATACAGATCCTTTAAATCCGTAGTGATGCAATTTTGTAAGTAATTTATCCCTGTCAATAGTCTCCAGCGCCCTTTTCAAGTCCTGTATGTTTCCGATTGTCCATACATCTCCTCCAGTCCTCTAAAGCTATTTGTGTTGCCGTTTCAGTTGAGTGTTCTTCCTGAACCCAGCTTGAAATTTGGTTAAAATGTTATTTCCCTCAATAAATTCGATGATCTTTCGTAAATAATTCCTTCAAAAACTTTTTCAACATCTGTCAGAACATTTATTGGCCGCATATTGGTGTACAACTCAGAATTCTCAACTTTAGAAACAGGAATTATAGTAGAACACTTCAGTTTTGTTGGAAATTCGCCATATTTTAAACAGTAGTTTATCAGGATTAATATTATTGCTCCAATAATATCAAAACATTCATTAAGCACACTTTTAGACAAAATCTCAATCTTATTTTGATTTGATTTAATTTTTAATATAATCTTCTTGAGGCGATTAATCAATAATTGATCTGCTATAATTAATTTCTTCATTTGTTATTACCCCATCGTCGAATTTCATTTTAGATAATGTACTTTTTCTACTAGGAGAAACAATGTTTTTCAACGTTTTTATTTTTACTCTGATCAAATTTGGCATTGTAATATTTTTTCTTTTCATCTCGTAGAATTCCACAAATTGGTTTCTTGATCTTGTGTATTCTAGCCCAATCATTTTCACTTCCAGTAATCATACACTTTTTATAATTGTAGTCTCGGTTTAATTAAGAATCCTTGAACGTCTGCGAGAACCAAGGTGTTGGATTTTTCCTTTATAAATTGTTGTCTTGACTGTAGCTTCTTTTATGCAAACCTCAACATTATCCAATAGGCTTATATAGTAGCTATCAACATCAACAAACGCTTCAGTCATATCTTGCAATAAAAGAGCTTCTCGTAATTTTACATTGTTAATATTAGTAATTACCGAAATGAAAATTTTGGTTTACAAATTATGAGTCTTCCGTATTTATGCTTGTCACTGTCAGTATGTGACAACCAATTTGCTATGGACATGTAACTTGTGTTTACCAATGTTGATCTTCGATATAAAGCAAAGTAGGCAGCAGCTGTGGCCGCAGTAGTAGACTCTTCGGTCTCCTGATCAGTCGCCGTGCGCTGTGCGGGTTCGAGTCCCGTCCCAGGAGAAATTTTTCTCTTGGCTATGGATGTTGTGATTGTCCGTAGGTGGCAGACGGTCTCTGACTGTCGAACGTGAAGGTACCACCCGGCGGATCTCGTAGGCGGAGCCAGAATGTGTGCATGTTGCATGCACTCGTGTTCCCTCGCCGTCGCCGTGTAGCGTTCCCCCTTTCCCATGTATCCCACTATAGCCCCACGGTACCCAATGGGTGCTCAGGCCTTAGGCCTTCGTGGTAGTTGGTGTATACAAAAAAAGTGTCTGAAGATGTGACTACAATATTGACAGTCTGTATTTGAAGTATTTTCAGAAAGTAAGAGCAAACAACGGTCCTATACCACCCAATTCATGTGTGTGTACAAGAGTGAGTAACAGCTTCGTTCCGGATCAGCTTGCGCATTGTGCAATTTCCCTAATAGAAGTCAAGCTACACACATGCTACAATTAGTCAATCTGTTTCCTTATTTCGTATGGCATTGTGACGTAACCGTCAAAAAACGGGAAAAGAGCTATTGGCTCCAGACTTACCTTTGTTGTTAAGAGTACGTACCATTCGTGAACCTTTGACTGTTGCACTTTGGCCATATGGATGAATCTTGAAATTGGAGGCATTCCGGCCACCATAAGGTGCATAGGCCGCTTAAGCGGGCCCTTATGCATCTCTACATTCCTTAGATCACAAGTCTCGCCCTTTTAGCGAAGTTGAGAACCGCCTTGAGTCCAAGCTCCTTGACGTCCTGAGGGTCCAAAGTAATGGGGCCCAGTATTGTCTGCCTATAGTAGCTCAGAGCTTCACAGCGACACAAAACGTGTGCCGAGGTCTCTTCCTCTACCCCGCAGCGTTCACACAAGGGATCCTCAGCCACCCCCATCACGTGCAGGTGGCGCCTTAACGTGTTATGGCCAGACAACAGTCCCACCAGCAACCTTAGGTTGGCTCTATCCAAAGATAGGCAGAAACGTCCATCCTTAGCACTGGGCCCTTCAATGAGTTCCCGTGCCTGGCGGAGATGTCTGGAGATAATTCTCCATTTCTGAGAGTGTAGTCTTGCAACCCACGTTGCCATTTTCCTCCTAGCTCTATGCGTGGTCACTCCTAGAGCTGGCTCAGGACCAACGAGCTTGCTGGCTGATCCTGTCTTCGCCAGAGTGTCCGCCGTCTCGTTGCCCCTTATCCCAGCGTGCCCCGGTACCCACATTAATGATACCGGATGCCTCGCTGCGAGGCAATCCACAGCCTCCCTGCATTGCAATACAAGACTCGAAGTAGCACTTTGGCCATATAACTAGATGAAAATTACGCCAAATGTCTATTTTTTCCAAATTAAAGGCCGAATTCGACTACATGGGAAAAATCGGTGATTTAAATGCACTAAAATGACAGTTTGCGGTTTTTCAAAGAGGTTGAATCATTAAAGGTACAATGTTGGTTGAGAGAAAAAAGTCGCGGCATTGAATTACCTTTCGCATGAAGATTTTAGATGTGGGCGATTTATAATCAGTTGGAAAACATTTTCCGATATCTTTCCGAAATTAGTGTAATTAGTTTCTTCAAAGCGTTTAAGCATAGATTTTATCAAAAGCCATTTGAATCATGTGCACAAAGAAATTAAGCGCTATAGTGCTGTCACACCACTGACATTCACTAAACTTGTTGCAACGTATTGCGTTCTTTAATTTGAAAAGCACAAAACCATTTTGTTATTTAAAAATCAACTTACGTATTTACATCCAGACAGATACTTCCATCGGAAGTGGTTTTCCAGATCAGTTTTTTTTTGTTCTCGGCATGCTTTTAGCGTTGAAAATAACGTTTTCTTTTTCAAAGCATAAGCAATCGCTACTTGTTTATCTTCATCTTATTCCTTAACTGACATATGTATCTTCTTTGGTTACAGACATCTGGTAAGATTGCCCAAAGCAACACCAGAGGGATACAGAGTACTGTTGTACTCAGTAAGAGATCCTGATCCAACAAAGATGAATTTCAGCGATGCTGTCAAAGGATTCTGCATGTACAATGACTGTGTGCTGTCTGAAGATGGTTTACAGGAGGGGTAAGTTTTGCTTACCTTTTATTCAAATATTCGGTTCTTGATCTCTGTCGCATATATGCTTCGTACACAGGTTATTACCAAAACATGCGACAAAAGTCAAGAAATGATTTCCAACAGTTTTTTGTCCTTTGACGAATTTCGAGAAATCTCTTCATTTCAAAGGTACAGAAAGACCAAACATCTTAAACTACGAAAACTGTTCCGCATCTCTAAAATGCAAGGCTACAATTTTCTCCTCAAATACCACCAAACTCTTTCAAATACTGGGGAGCATGCATGTTGAAGTTGTTAAATGTGAATTAAAGAGGAATTAATAATAAGCATTTATTGCCCAATAGTTTAACACCATTTACAGAGCAAACTACTATTAAAAAAAATCACCATGAGGTAGCTTGTGAAGAAAAAAAAACAATAATAATTCATGTATCAATAACAAAAAATAAATATAGCTACAGCTTAAAAATAAGAAACGTAAGATAAATCAAAAGTGAGCACGCAATTTGCACTTCAATTCACCTATGCTATATAAGAATATGTCACATACATCGGCTATTTTATTCGCATTCACACACATCATGTTGACAGGCGCTTTCGACAATAAGTTTGTTTGAGCTCTTTGACATAAAAAAGGAACATTATACCTTGATGTTAGTCGTGGTACCAGAAACTGTATTTGTGAAAGTATTGTAGGGCAGTCTATTAGATTATGCAGTAATTTATATGAAACTATAACTGCTGATTGCTGACGCCGTTGTTCTAAGGATTGAATGCCAAATTTATGAAGAAGGATGTTGTATTCTGTACCTCTACTAGGATATATGCCATCGATCTTAAAACATAAAAATTTTAAAAATCTCTTTTGAAGTTTATCAACAACATCAATATACTGCTTGTAAATCGGACTCCATATCAAAGATCCATATTCAAGCTTAGACCTAACCAAGCTAAAGTATAATGTCTGCAAAGTCAAAACGTCAAAAGATTTACAATTCCTGATAACGAAGCCATAGGTTCGGTAAGCACTTGATATGATTTGATTGATATGCTCATTAAAGGTTAGATGTTGATCAAAGTAGATACCTAAGTCTTTCACAGTTTCACTGCGCTCAAGAACATGTTGGGTCATTGTATAATTATATACCATTGGGTTGGTTTTCCTTGAAAAAGTTACTACTTTACACTTACTTATATTAAGATGAAGTTGATTCTTGGCACACCAGCTTTGCAATTTATTTATTTGACCTTGAACAAATGCACAGTCTTCCAAGCATGAAACGGATGAATAACATTTTAGGTCGTCTGCGAACATTAACTTAGAACAAGCCAAAGATTCACACAGATCATTCACAAACAATATGAACAACAGTGGTCCTAAATTCGAACCCTGTGGTACGCCACTGGTTGAGACATAAACATGTGATATGTAGCCATTATAAAAAACATACTGTTTCCTTTCAAACAGATATGATGTTAAGAGCGCTAAGTAAATGTTGTTGAAGCCCAGGTACTCAAGCTTTTGGAGCAAAATACTGTGGCTGACCCTATCGAAGGCCTTGGAGAAATCGGTGTACACCACATCTTCCTGTCCTCTATTGTCTAATCTTTCGCACAAGTATTGGCTAAATACCATTAAGTTTGTTAGTGTTGAACGCTGCCTTATAAAACCATGTTGGTCAATGGAAATATTATTTTTAGTGGACAGGTAAATGCGGTTGTACAGTACGATCTCCAAGAGTTTTGCAAAATTATTGAGTATAGATATAGTCCTATATTCACTGATACGGTGATAATTTTTTGACTTTGGAATTGGGCAAACTTTGTCAATTTTCCATTTATCGGGGAAAACAGTCGTTGTTAGGATTAAATTGAAGATAACCCGTAAAGGATGAACTAATTTCCTGATACAATCTCTAACAATAAAAGATGGGATTTGATCAGGTCCAGCAGTCAATTTACTTTTAAGCTTTCTACAGGCCACTAAAATTTCCTCATCTGATATTGGCTCACAACTAATGTCGACGAGTCCACTATGACTGAAATCAAAGTTCAACTCAGTATCGACATTAGCAGTTGAGTAAACGCTGGAGAAAAAATCAGCGAAGGCGTTGACTATACTTTGCGGATCACCAAATGACTCGTTTCCATACAACATTCTATTGGGAATCCTAGAAGTGTTGTTTTTACTATGTACGAAAGACCAGAAAGACTTAGGGTCATCATCTGGCTGATTTTGAATGGTTTGAAGATAGATATTATATGACTCTTTGGTTTTAAGCTTAAATATTTTCCTGATTCTGCCGAATTCTTGGTAATATTCGTTAGCACCAGACCTTTTAAATTTTTTGTGCGCTTTATCTTTTTGTTTTACTAGTTTTATAATTTCACTGGTGTACCAAGAGGGATATTTATGCCTGAAATTTTTATATTGTGGAGCGTGTGCATCGAATAATTCGTAAAGTTTGGTATAAAATGCATTAATTGCATCATTTATGTCACTAGTGTTATCCAAGAAATCCCAATTAACCAATAACAAAGAATTGTACAGCGAAAAAAAGTTAGCACGTCTAAAATTATATCTTTTTTGGTCAGTACTGACTGTGACGTATTCACTCTTTTTGCAGACAGTTTTTAATGTTACGGACAAACAAGGATGATACACGTCTTCATCCACTAATATAGCTAAATCTCTATAAACAATACAATCAATGTTACTTATTACTAAGTCCAGGATTCTATCATATTGGTTATGAATATTATTATACTGTTTCATGTTCCAGAAGTTGAGCCAATTAACAATGTAGCGGATCTTTGCGTCATTTAAATTATTTTCCACAAAGTTTGGAGAATTGAAATCACCCAGAAAGACAACACGTTTGGAATGCATGATTTCCCAGTTTTCTAACATTTCAAAAAAAGCTTCAAATGTATCAACAGAAACATGTGGTGCAGCATATATGACAGCGAAATAAAGATTCTGATGAGATACAATGCATTTGCATACCAAAAAATCTATTTCTGGGAAACTTGTATCAAACTGCGTAGTATCTACTACAACAGAGTTAGGAGCCGCTTCAAATGCCAGTAGTACACCACCACCCATTGACAGGTTCAATTGATTATGTTTTCTGTCCTTACGATGAACGTCAAAAGAATTGGGAAATAATTCCAGAGAATTTACTTCGGGCTTTAGCCACGTTTCGCTTAAAGCAAATACATTATACTCACAGTCACTCACAGCAGGATAGAATTTGTTAATTTTGCTGTTTAGCCCTCTAACATTCTGATAGTACACTGTCAAAAAATCACTACATCCACTATTGGGCCGACCTAGTATAAAGGAACAATCCTTGGTACATTGTTGATGAACTTGATCCTACAGTTATTATCTCCTGCTTCATGACGCCTGGCTAACTCAGTTCTGATACTTTTATAATGCTCCATTTGCCTTTTGGTGCGATCCTGTACGATGTTTACATGCTTGAAGGTATCACTTGATTTAAGCTTTTTCGCATTCACCAGAACTTGCAATGCTGAGTCATAGCTGTCAAGTATTACCTTGATGGGTCTAACTTTTGTGCCGCAAAACATTCCTAATCTCATCACTTTTATGTTGGTTAGCCTCACGTCAGGGACAGCTTCACGTAACAAGTTAACGACAACTGTTTTATCAGATTCATTTTGCTCACTTCTGGCTTTTTGATCAGGCTCAGTGACATTAAAGACTATTACGTTGTTTCTACGTCTTTCACGCTCTAAAATCTTAGATATGATGTCTTCCATGGAAAAACTTGAATCTGCATTTTTGGTGTTATCAGCTTTCAAATCCTTTATTTGATTACGCAAATCGATGATTAATGCCTTCAAGTCATTAATGTCTCTACCTATGCATCTGCAGTCCTTACAGGTCCAATCGTACCCCTTGCTCGAATTTAAAGTACGAACCTCATTTGCGCTGATTTCCACACAGGAATGCTTGTATTTCTGCTTACAAACACAGCACGTAACAATTTGATAAGGCTCACACTGTTGATTACAGCAGCTGCAAGGGACTCTAGCTGGCATAATTCTGAATTTTGTGTGCAAATGTTTGTTTTCTAAATCAACACAAGTACGCCACTGGAAAACTATTTCCACTTTGTTTCAATGAAAATTCCAGAAATTCCACCAGAGATTGTAAAGGTTAGCTTTCTTTTATTATCAAAAAAAACAGTGTTAAACTATTAAAGATGAACTAGAAAAACTTGCCAAATGCTCAGTAATTACGTGAGCGTAACTATGATACTCGCAAACAAATTTTCAATTGAGTCCCAGTTTTCTAACATTTCAAAAAAAGCTTCAAATGTATCAACAGAAACATGTGGTGCAGCATATATGACAGCGAAATAAAGATTCTGATGAGATACAATGCATTTGCATACCAAAAAATCTATTTCTGGGAAACTTGTATCAAACTGCGTAGTATCTACTACAACAGAGTTAGGAGCCGCTTCAAATGCCAGTAGTACACCACCACCCATTGACAGGTTCAATTGATTATGTTTTCTGTCCTTACGATGAACGTCAAAAGAATTGGGAAATAATTCCAGAGAATTTACTTCGGGCTTTAGCCACGTTTCGCTTAAAGCAAATACATTATACTCACAGTCACTCACAGCAGGATAGAATTTGTTAATTTTGCTGTTTAGCCCTCTAACATTCTGATAGTACACTGTCAAAAAATCACTACATCCACTATTGGGCCGACCTAGTATAAAGGAACAATCCTTGGTACATTGTTGATGAACTTGATCCTACAGTTATTATCTCCTGCTTCATGACGCCTGGCTAACTCAGTTCTGATACTTTTATAATGCTCCATTTGCCTTTTGGTGCGATCCTGTACGATGTTTACATGCTTGAAGGTATCACTTGATTTAAGCTTTTTCGCATTCACCAGAACTTGCAATGCTGAGTCATAGCTGTCAAGTATTACCTTGATGGGTCTAACTTTTGTGCCGCAA